CCTTTTTCATTTTTATTGCTTGCTTTCCTCTCTTTTATTGCAGGTGGGATTGGGCATTCCCCTGAAAAGACCACAAATTTGAACTCGAACCCTGCTCACCTAGGGTACTGACAATTAGCAAGAAACAAGGACTCTTAGGTGAAGTATTTCCTGCAGACTTTCCTGTCTGTGCGCTTGGGAGTGGCACAGCTTGTTCCAGGCCACGTGGTAGGGTTGCAGAAAGATGGGGTCTGTATTGCTTTTCAGCTGATGCAGTACAGCAGTGTAAATAAGTTTGTGCTTGTTTCTTTCATTTGATTTTTTTCTCTGACTTCACCTCCTAGTCTTTGGGATGGAGTAAAGAGGAATGTGGGGGTGGCTGACTCCCTTTTCCCTCATGCAGAATATTGGTGCTGGTATGGGAATGTAGAAGATATGGGAACAGCCTGAGTTTTTAACTTCCCATAGCCAACAATTTCTGGGTTAACTGTGCTGCCTAGCTGATGGAGCTGATGCAACAGGGTGTACTACTAAGCTTTCTCAGGCTTGGACTTCTCACAGTTTGCAATGTTCTTTCTTTTTTGCCCTTGTCTGGGTCTTGGGATCTTCAGAGTTTGCAAGCAGACTTTGGTTTGTTCTTTTGAAAACCACTGATTGCTTAGATTCTGTGTCACTAAGCAGAATAGAAGTGTTTGGAAAATATATGTAGTTTGTGACTGAAAATTCACCATGCTGCTTGTGTCTACCATCCTGGCAGTTTCTCTTGCTCCAGAAACAAACAATACATGAATAATCCACATGATTTTCTTTTTCTGCATACAGGTCAGCTTTGGAGGTAGTTGTTGCTGGTTACAAGGAGAGTTTCAGACATTCACAAAACCAGATATGCCTTTGTGGTCTCAGTGGTGGTGTAAGCCATGAAGTTGTGTTGCAGACGTGGTGTGTGTTCACTTTTGCTTTCATTTTGAAAGGTAGGTGGCTGAGAGCCTCATGTAATGTATCAGTGATGTCCAGATTGGAGAAAATAGTCCAGCTGCAGAGCATTTGATAGCCTGCTGCTGCTGTTCAAGAGCATGGGTTTGATGCAAACATAGCCCAACAGCCACACTAGCTTGCTCAGGTGCCACTGGAAGCTGCCAGGCCAGCTGAGACCTTACAAATTTCACACAGGTTACAAACAAGTTCTCATGAAGGCATAGTTCAACTCCAAGAGTTGCAGTTGGGTCTCCATGGGGAACACCTACTTTATCTTCAGAGAGCAGCTCAATGCTCCAGAAGAAAGCCCTGAGCACTTGCCCTTTCTAGTTTCCAGGATACCAGCCTCCCTAAATTTCAAAACAGAGTCCTGCTTTGGGGTTTCTTGAATAATCAAAGTGAAGCTTTTTGTTCTTGACTTACTTGCTCCTGGAAGAAGAGAGCCAGAGTGAGGGAAGCCTGTCTGCATCCATACACATCAAAATCAATACAGGGGCTTTCATGTTTGCCTCAAAAGACTCCTGTACCTTCCAGAAAAAAACCTCAGCAAAGTCAATTATAGGAGATCCCTGTGAAGCTTCAGAGCTGTGGGATGAATCGTAGCTCTCAGAAAGAGTGTTTAAGAGCATCTTCTGGAGGAGTTCCTTCTTGGAAACGCTTACCTCTTACCTGAATCCCTGCATGACCTGCTGCAGCCAGGCAAGTGCACCTGACAGGTGCTACTGTGCCAGCTCAGCCGGCTTTGCTCTTCCTCAGGAGGTGTAAGGTCTAAATAGTCACTTCTTTCACTGTGCTGGTCCTTGTACCACCATGTTAGACTGGCTTTTTAAGGAAAATAAAAGGTTTTTGCATGTTTGAGGCCGAGTTTTTGGAGGTATTTGGACAGAAAAAGCTTACAACTGAGCTGGAAGTTGGTTTGGAACAGTGCTTATGCTTAGCCCTACTGGTTGATTTAGCAGCATATTTATATGCTTCAAAGCACAGATTAGCCAGAGAGCTGGTGACTCACCTTTTCATTAGCACCTCTCCCTCTGATAGTGGCTTGTCTGCAGTGGAAGCAAGTCTCCACATGCATGCAGCCAGTGGTGAAAGGCTGGAGCTTCTAATCCCAACCTAATGCTATACTGGGACAGATGCTTTGTGTCCTGGAAGTGGCTGTGCTCCCTGTAAATCCTAAATGGACACTAGTGACTAGACTGGGAGAGAGCTCTACATGCAGCCCAATGAATCCCAACTGCTTTGAGGTGGGAAGAAGCACTTGAGGTGGAAGAAACAGCGTTTTTCAGATTGCTCCAATACTCCGTTCTGAAGTTTGCTGCAAGTGGATTTCAGCTCTTTTCGCAAGACTAAAAGGAAGGAGGTGACAGTGGCCATTAGTGATGCCATGTGAGGAATATTTAAATGAAAGGCTTCTCTGGAAAGTGATAAAAGAGCAAAATAGCCTTTAAACAGGACTAATCAATGTTGTCAAGAGACATGTCATCAACAAAACATTGAGGAGAAGGGGAAAAAAGATGTTGTGAGCCCTGTGTAGTCTCCTGGAGCACCGTCACAAAATAAAGTCTTGTAATAAACAACTGACAGAGCTGAGATGGAAGCAAATTAGCACAGGGATCCTAGGGTTTTCTCTGTGTCACTTCCTTCTCCCAAAGCAGCAGTTGCTTTAGTTAATTAAAATAAGAAAACTTCTGTCTAAAGCTTAATCAGACATTCTGTCTTTAATTTGAGGAAATGGAAAAGTCAAGGAGGATCTTTACTGCCAACACAGGCACATTTAGTTAGACTTACCTCTTTCTCTCTCCATTCTGAAAGGGTTGGAAGTACAAGATGGGAAACATTCTCAGCCATGAACTGGGTTGTCTACAATATCCATGTTTTTTTCCTTCTCCTCTGTGCTTCAGGTTATTTATTAATTCTGGAGGCTTTCTGAGTAGCTAAGGGGAGGGTGAGGGTAATGTGAAGCTTCTTACCCTGATCCAAGAATGGAGTTGGTCACTTCTCAGCCCACCCCTTCACCTTTCCTGCTGCCAGGTTGCTCATTCTGAAAACTAAATTGGTTTGGGTTGAAGAATAGATCCATTTATTGTTTTAAAATATTTATAACTTGCCAGTCAAGTTTTTTGGTATGTGTTTAAATTTCTGAATGTTACATTTAAGTTGAATTGAAGTTTACTTTTTCAGGCATCCTGCTTATTTAAAATTGCTTTGAGGCATTGCTGCCAGCATTTGGTCATGGTAGAATAGCTGCAGAAAACTATTTTGCAAATTTGAAATGCTGTTCATATTCACTGAGTGAAAGTATTTCTTATTTTTTGTTCTTTTTGTGTGGCCCTCCTAGTACTTGAAGCTTTAGTCAATCCTGCTGGGTTTTAATTGAATTCAAAATTACCCAAAGCTCATCTTGCTTTCACAAGCATATTTTTTAATATGTTTCAATTTGGATTTCCTGATTCTAGCTACTGCAGCAGATGTTTTGTGCAGAGATGTGCTTTCTTTTGGTGCGCATAAAACTGTCTCATATTCTGAGAAAAAATTACTCTCTAAAATGCAAGGCTCTAGTACAGAATGGTGGAAATGACAGAGATATCAATCAAGACTATTTCATGACGCTCAAGTGTTGCCTTGCAATTTTTGTTAATCTGTGAGGGAAGTGACTCCTGCTTTATTTTCCTTTATAGTGGCATATTGAGCCTGTTTATCAGCATAGAGAAATTTAGGTTGGAAGGGACCCCTGGTGGTCATCTGGTCCAACCTCCTACTCAAAGCATGTTTAACTAGATCAGGTAAATTTTTCCTTGTATCTAATATGAATTTCCCGTTTCCCAATTTTTGTCCATTGCTTCTTGTCCTCTTACTGTTCACCTCTGAGAAGAGCCTGGCAGCAGCATCTCTGCACCCTCTAAGTGTAGACAGCACTGAGGTCTCTCTCCCTGGGGCTGTCTCTTCTGCAGGCTGAGCAAACCCCGAGGCTCTCGTGCCTCCTGTGCTTCAGCTCCCTAAACCCCTTGGTTGCCTTTCACTGGGCCCTGTGTCTATAATTAGGGGAAGGAGTGGGAGGGGATCAGATAGGCTGTCTGGTGAGGCAGTGCCTGCTCTTGGGAACAGTGATGAGGAAGTGATCCAAGAGATGAGTGAGAACAAAAACCCGAAAGCTGTGCTAGGTGTAGCCTCCATTAACACATTTCATATCCACAGGTCTGTGCTTGCTGAGGTGCGAGATGTCTGCCCTGAGGCTGGTCTCTAACAGAACCTCCCAGCAGGCCCTGTCTAACTCTGATTACACCTGGGACTACGAGTACTATGAGTATGGACCAGTGTCATTTGAAGGCCTGAAGGCTCATAAGTGTAAGTTCAGTAGAGACATACATCCTTGCAGCTGAGCTTCCTGTCTGCGTGTTCCTATTCTTCACTTGTGACTGGACATTGTACAAAAACCCTTCCAATGCCTTCCAGTGCCTTCTCTGCAATTAGCAATATGCCTCTATTTATTAGATCATCATTATTGCCTATTATTCTGTATCCTTTTGCTGACTTTTTCCTTGTTCATGTGACAACCATGGATTTATTTGCTGTGGTAGAAATTTGTCAATACTGAGGAATCTGACTGTCTGGAAAAGTTAGCAACAAATACAGATAGACTGCTGCTTCTGCTGACTTCTTGTTAAGATAAGTGTTTCTTTGTTTTGGTTCTATTTGTTTGTATTTGCTTCTATTAATGGTAAAAAAGGCAGTGGTGGGGAGCCTTACCTGCGTTACCTGTGTTTGGTTTTCCTGATAGAAAATAAATTTTAGGTTTTTAAAAGGTTGAAAATAAGAGAATAATTTTCTCCTTCTGAACAAACTTGCTATTGGTACTTTCTTCATAGGAGGAGTGCTAAATCAAATTTTCTGTTATTACTGGAGTTTCTTACATTAGAAGCAAAAAATATAGGATAGGTACCAGAAATATGAAAAATGTGGATGGGAATTGGGAGAAAATATAACTAGGACAAGCTAGTACAGCTGGACCAGTGTTTTTCTAAAAACTAGACAGTGGATTTGATGAACTTTCCTTTTAGAGGAGATGATTGTGAAGGACAAACAGTAAAAGAGGGGGAAAAAAGTAACAGAAACCAACTAAATTACCTGATGATAACTGAGTAATTCTGCAAACACTTTGCAGAAGAGAAAAACCCATCCTGTTTCTGAGCTAGGTACACTGTGAAGGGGTTTGATCCCCAGACTTTAAAGTTTTGGGAAGTGTCCCTCTCCAGTGCTGGAGCACTGATCCAGGATGAATCACATATTTTCTGTCTAATTTGTCACGATCAGCATTCTGACTGGGAAAAAGTAGTACCTGTACTGGCAAACGGCAGCCCAGGAAGGCTGATCTCCCTTGCCTCTACACAGTCAGAAGGTTTTGGGAAGGCTCTGGAAGGGACAGAAAAAACTTGCTGAAATTACTAACACTTCTGAAAAAAAAGTTAGAGTAGAATTTACTTTTCTTTTTCCCCTCCAAAGAAGTCTGCTGATTACTGCCTGTATTTTTACAAATGACAGGTACTTGAAAAATGTGGGCTAGCTTTCATCTTGTTTTTAATTTGTCTTCCATTCTTCCACTCAGAGGTTAAACCTGATTACAAAGATTACTGGTTGCAAAGATCAGCTGAAATGTTATGTACGCATCTTCTTTTCAGCTCAGTGTCTCAAACAGCATGATGGGACAAAGAGGTATAAATGACAGCTGCCTCTGGATTGCAGAAGGCACAAGAAGGTCTTGGATTGCCATCAAAATAATGAGCATGGCAGCTGAGCTTCCCTGTCTGGCTGTGCTGTTCTTAGAGCAGAAGGTCCTGGACAGCTCTTAGAGAACTGGATAGAAGTAACAACTGCTTTTCAGGTGGAGCTTAATGAAAGATGTCATTGGTAGTACTTGAATCAGAGATCTAGGATGTACCTTCTGGTTATGGTGGATTTTCTTTAGTTTTTGTTTGTTTCTTTGTTTAAAGCGATAGATTGGAGTTGGCTCTGTTTCCTTCACTTTTATTGCATGCATTCCCCAGAAGGCAGAGTTTAATCTACTAAAGGAATAGTCTTTGATGTGTATGGATGTGTTCTTGTTCCAGCTATTGCTAGCTGAGCTGAAATCATTGTGAAATGTGGAGGCAGTGTGATCAGACATGAATGTCTCTGAAATCCTAAACTGGGGAGAAGGAGAGGAGATTAAACAGGGGTTGTATGAGGAGGGACACCTTGAATACCTACAAAGAAAAGGTGTCAATGAATGCCTGTAACTTATGTTGGAGAGCTCAACAGGGAATGGACTCCAGTTTAGGCAATTTGATTTAAATATAAAGGAATTCAGAAGCCTGTTTTCTGAAAGCAGAAAAAATATTATTCAAAGTGACCCGTGAGAAAAAGGTATGATAAAATAATCTACTACACAAAAATACTTTTCTTTGAACAAACAAACAAAAAAGATGCCACAATGATGTTTCAAATATATGAGTGCAAAAGAAGAAGAAAAAAACCCCAAAAAGTATGTTCTGCTGGAGAAGTGAAGACAGGAACTAGAAATCAAGAAATCTGGAAAAACAGAGACCAGATATTTTTTACATTAAAGATTCAGAAAGTATATAGACAAAGATAGCCAGGAGAGACTCATGACTGGCAGAGGTAAGAAAAAAAAATCACTTTTTGTGCCTTTGAAAATGAGGAAGCCTCAGTTATGTTAGTGAGAGGCAAAATAGGAATGATCAGAGGAGCTGGAACTGCTGCCAGGATGAGTCTGTATTGTGAAGAAAAGGAAGGCTGAAACTGCACTTGAAAATGTTAAAGTATCCCATAATTGTTTATTTGTAACTTTGGGCAATGTAAGTGTCTTTCGTACCATATTTTTTGAACAAAAGTTGGGTCAATTTTGAATAATTGTTTAGAATTTAGTAGGTTTGAATAATTTCCACTTAAGTGAGTGAGACCTAAATGAAATATTGAAGAGAACTCAGGACACCTGCTTGAATTTTAAGTAAATTCAAACAATGTAATTTATACAGCAGAGGGTTGGAAGTGTGTCAGGCACAATAAAGCAAGGAAGATGCAGCATTAGGCTTGGTAAACTTTGGAATTCTGTTGGGAGCAGGGACACCAAACCAACCACAAAACAGGCTTGTTATTCAGGACACAATAGGCAGTGTGATTTTTGTGGGGAGCAGTAGTTTATCAGAGCCTTGATTTTCTTTTTTTTCTTTTTTTTTCTTTTTTTTTTTTTTTCTTTTTTTTTCCTTTTAGTTAAGTTTTTCAGCTTGAATGATATAACCTATGTGCATGTATTTTAGTTATCTTGATTGGATTTTACCTTCTGGTTGCTAATGCAGCTGCATACCATCCAAGCATGTCTCACTGGAAGGTACTAATAGCTGTAAATGTTTAAGTAGTAAATTTTTTAAAGGGAGTATTTTTTTTTAGATGAAATCTGCATGTACTACAAAGTCCAGCAGGATGAGCTATTTTATATTAGGAAAGTTGACCATTAGGTATATCTTTAACCAGTGAGTACAGGCTGTGCTTACAGAGCGATTCTGAAAGTAACTTAGTGCATGTAATATATAGAATTACAGAAATAAACTCATGGCAGAATGCTTTAAGCAGAAAGGGATATTAAAATCTCTTCCCCCTCCATCACAGAGACCTATACTCAAACCACATTCCAATTATTTTACACAAGGTATTGAGAGGGGAAGATACAGCATAGGAGAGATGGAATAAATATTTCAGTGGGAGACTGGAAACTAAACCTCCTTAGCTTTCCTGAGAAAGGGATTAAGGAGGGACTTCATTGTGATAAAGTATTTTCTCAGGGACAAAATCTCCAGTCGCAGCAGGCATTTTTGACTTTGCAGGGAAAGAGAGAATGGTTTGAGTTGATTTCCAGTTCCCACATCTGCCTTTTAGTGTGGAAGATATTTCCCATTGGGAGCATGATTAACAGCTGGAGTCAAGCACAAGGTAGGATAGCTGATTCCTTGTTTTTTCAGTGTCTTCAGTGAGTCCTGTAGGAAATTCAACAGTTCTGTGCTGTGCCTGGTGCACTGGCTCAGACATTACAGCCAGTGAGGATCTGTGAGGTTTGGTAGTGGCTGTGTAATGAGAGGTAAGGGTAGAAAGGATTCCTGTCCTGACCAAGCCTTCCCTCTTGCATGTTTGTATGTTCATGTTGTGAACTTCTACAGTGGAAGTTTTGAATGCTTGCATAAGCGAAGAATAACTAATTGAAATGACAGGTGAAAAAATACCTGGGTGCTGATGGGTCCCTGGTGATATCGAATGTTGGTGCTCTGTGACTTTGGGCCATGCTAATCAGTTGATATTTGTCTGGAAATATGTTTGTCCCACTTGAGCCTCTCTAAATCAAGTTCCTGGAAACTTTGAACTTCCCTCAGGAGCAACTGTGCATCCACCTTGAAGTTGCAAGTGGACATAGATTTGCTTTTAGTAGTACTTGCCAATTGTCTACAGTCTATTTGCTATCAGTGGGAACAGTAGATACAGTTTATGCACACAGGCAAAAAGCCACACTCTTCCCAATGACTGCTATATTTGGCTACTGCACTGGTGTTTTCCTATTGATTAACTGGTGGTTTGACTTTTTTGTCTAAATCTGCTGTGCTCCTCTGACACTGTGTTGCTGTACTTAAGTTGGAAACCCAAATTGAAAATTACTCAAAAAAATCTTGTATCTCTTGGTTAGTGGTATTTATTGAAGTAGCAAAGATTTTTATCTGTGGCTCTGTTTCATGCACAACCCTTTGTCTTGCCACTGAAAGGTCTTCCTAAACATATTTTGTCAAAGAAGTACATTTAAATCCAGAAACTTAATGGTCTGGAGCAGAAATAACTTTAAATAGCAGGAGTTCAGTTCTACAAAGACAGAGGATTTTGAGGAAAATCAAATAATCCTCTCTTCCTAGTTCTAGCATTGAAGTTCCAAAGCAATGCTTGAAAATGGGCCTGGCATCACATAGGGACCTCCTCTTAGTTTACTAACCAAGAGAATTGTCTTCCCTCTGTTATCTACTGTCTGGTTTTTCTAGATAACAGTAAAATTTGGTCTCAAAATGAGATTTTCAATGTCAGGTTTCTGTTTAAAAATAGATAAATTTGATTTTATTTCTGGGTGACAAAGAGCAGGGATAAACTTCCAGTTGTTTTGGGTTTGCACTCATGCTGCATGTGGAAGGCAACTTTTTGCAAGTGCAAGTAAAATATTGATCATCTTGTTTCCTCTTTTTTTTCCCCACCAGATTCCATTGTGATTGGATTTTGGGTTGGTCTTGCAGTTTTTGTCATCTTCATGTTTTTTGTCCTGACCCTGCTGACGAAGACAGGAGCACCACATCAAGAGTGAGTCTGAAAATGGGAATGACAAATCCAGCCTGCTAAGTGGCACACCTGGGCTCTTGCAGCCCCCAAACAAACAGTGACAGTGCTGACACTGTACCATTTTATTCTAGTCTGTTCTTATGAAACAGTGCAGTCTGTCTTCAGTTCAAGTAATTTTAGTGTTTTCATTCTAAAAGGATGTTTTGGGTAGGCTGCCAAACAGGTGCCTTTGATTACTGTTTTGCAAACAGGTGGGATGGTTCTAAGTAGGCTCAAGTTTTCATGGAGTGATTCTGTGAATATCAACAGAGTAAATACAAATAAGATGCAGTGCAGATGGTGAATTAAGGAAGCTGTAGGCTGGCTGGTTTCCAAATGTTTGTGTGTTCAAGCCTAAAGACAGATACGGGTAGTATTTGCAAAATCTTCCCTTAAACCCTGAGATCTGAGAGTGTCTTTGGTTCTGCTGAGAAATTGCAATAGATGCTGAAGTAGAGATCAGCTCAACATTTCTTTAAAGCCAGGGTCCCTTGAAAGTCCTCTATCTTTAATTCCTTCTAGCTGATAAGTATGTGCAGACCATGCCTTGCCCCAGTGGTTTATCTGCATTTGCACAGGATGCAGGCTGTAAGTGTCCCTTCCTCTGAGAAAGTTTGAGCCCACTTCTCCTCTCAGGTTTGTGTGCCATAAAGTGGAAATAAAAAGCCTCTCTGGAGCATGCGATTTCTTGCAGGCAGATAGCAATGATGAGAAGCTGATTGTAAAAGGCAATTCCTTGTGCTTATCACTTCCTAAAGCAGCCTGTCTATGCCTCCTGGAGCCCCTTTGCTATTTAATCACATGTAAACTGGCTCTGGAACTCCATGTGATAGCATATCTTGAGAGACAAAGCCATATTAGAGAGGGCAGGTGTACATCCTGAGCTTCCCCTGGAGTCCTAAAATTTTGCTCCTGCGAGAAGAAAACAGAGGCAGAAAAATCCAGCTTACCAGAACTGACCTGCTGGTATTTTTGTTTCCTCTACAGACTGTTATGAAGTAGCCAGATATTGCCCCCAAATAGATTTAAAATCCCTGTAATTGTTCATGTGCTGTCTCTTTTTCCTAACGATCTTATTTATTAGCTAAGCATGAGTCTGGATCTCATGTGGATTATTTAAGAGGGAAAAGTGATGAAGTCAAAAATACCAATATAGAGAGAATTTAATACGGATATTTGTCAAAAATTTTTACACGTGTAAAAATTTACTTCCAGGTAGTAGAGGCCTCCTTGATATCTCCCACTTTCTTCTGCTTTTTTCATCAGTCATCTCAGAACAGTGTCCTAGAGAGTTTGTGAAATGTCCACCTTTGGTCAGCTTCTACATCCAGATAATGTGGTCAGAATTCAGACTTGCTCTTGTCTTCATCATTAGGCTTGAGACTTCCAGAAGTCCCTTCTGTTCTACACTTTAATATAATTTTTCTTCAGCTGCTGGAGTGAGACCAATTATTCCTTTCTGTATTTATTATAGATCTTTTTGCAGCTTTGAGAGCTGTGTGCCTGAGTGCTTGACCACTTGCTATGTGTGCTAGTTGGCATCTTTAACAAATTTGAGCACTGTTTTTTTGATATTTGGTATGAAATGTGCATGGTACTGAACCTGGATCCTCTGGAAATATGCTAAGGGCGGGGGTTACAGTTATGTTCTTCCATTTTTGATATTTGTATATAAAAACTGGAGAACAGCTACCTGTAAAACCAGAGCAGACTGGTTTCAGTTTGTCTGCGTTTTCTATTTTATACCTGACTGGACTCTTCATGAATTGGCATTTCATTAGTGGGCTGCCTTGAGCCCTCCTTTAGAAATAGATGTTAACGGGATTCCTTGGTCCTGGGAGAAAGCCAGCTTGATTGATGGATGAAGTCTCTGAAGTCTCTGACTTCAGTAAGGCTATTTGGCTGTTCTTCAGAGTACCATTAATGTGAGAGATTAAGTGGATCTGGGCTCAGATGGATGGATCCAAAGTAGAATACTCTGATTTTTTCTTTTTTTTTCTAGTAGTATGCTTGGCTCAATATAAAGGGGCCTGATAGCTTGTACTTTTCAAAATTACACAAGATGTTCAGAATTAGGTACATTCTCAGACCAGAATGGACAGGATAGGGATGGGGACTGGCAGAAATTTAATCAGTTATGGAAATTATGTCTGTTGCATTTCTCTTTTGTTTGCTTGCATATATAACTGTGTGTGGAACATTAGCTTGTGCAACTGAAAAAAAAATTTGTTGGCAATATCTGAATTTCCAAAAAACGCTCTCATTCATCAACTCAGGAGTGGAAAGCATGCCATATTTGTTTCCGCATTTAAAAATGTCCTTAAGAGCACATTTGTGCAACAAATGCAAGAGATCGTGCAACCTATCTATGCAAAATATTGGCTGATAAAGCAGTAAATGTTAGATCACTGTTTTTTTTTTAAGAAATCAGTTGATCTTGGTTAAATAAACCTGGGATTTTTGAGGCTGCTTTTCCTGAGTGTTCCAAAAAGATACCTGCTGAGGAATTCTTGAAGATTGTAACGAGCAAGACTATGCAAATTTCTAATTTTTAAAAAATGCAATAAAATTCCTCTCTGAAATACAAAGGTGGTGTTTGTGAATTTCAAAATCCAAAAATATCACCGTATATTATATCATGTGTATGCTTCATCATATATCCTCAACATTCTGGGTCATTGTAAAATTTATTTGCATCTTCTGTTCTTCCATTAAGATTAGATTGCCATTGCCAGTCTTGTGTACCCCTCTGCATGGTCAGCCTTTGTTCCTCCATAGTTCACTGGTTTATGAAGCACTTTCCACATCTATGGAGTAATTCTACTCTTGTAGTGGATGCATTTTAAACTTTCTTCTGCAGTCATTTCTTCCTTGGCTTACAGTGCTTGTCCTTCCTTCTGTGCTTATTTGCCACCTCTATTGCCTGTGCCACGACCTAGAAACTCTTGGGACGGATTTGCCAAAATATATATGAAACTTAATCTGGTGCTTTTTACTGCATTGTAAATACATACATATCAGTTGTCAGTTCAGAATTATTCCAGGCTGATTTGTTGATTCCCCTGATGTGTTTACAGTAGATTATTATTTAGTTACTGGTCAGTCTTACATCAATTTAAATGTTATTCTTCTGCCTGGTTCACTTTGAAATGCAGAGTGAGCCAATACAGTTTTGCCAAACTAGAGAACTGCTTTGATTTCTAGGCTAGTGGAAGCGATTTTCTGAGGACAGAATTCTCCCATCCTGTAATGGAAGTGAATTAGCTTTTGAGAAGCAGGGATCTTTAACTGTGCCTGAAAGACTAATGGTAGGTATCCTGTGAACTTGAAAATTTTAGTGGGTAGATTTCTGAAGGTGTCATCTGAGGCTTTCAAAAGCTTGTAGGCACTTACTTCCTACTGCAGGCTTGAGGAAATTAAATTACACTGAAAAATTCTTCAGTGCTGAGTGGACCTTTAGATGTCCGGTTATCTGACTCCAGCGCCATTTGCAGCATCTTCAGATGTAAACAGTATGATTTATTAATTCTTAACAAAATTCATATTCTGAGAAAACTCATTCATTCATTGCTCATTCTCTGAATACCTCTACTGCCTTCCAAATGCAAATAACTTGCATTTTGTGATGATAGCGTATAAATTCAGCCTGACAAAGAATGAATCTGTAAGATTTGTTACCTAGCCTTAGCTCTTCTCACCCCCAGCTGCAAATGGCTCCTGCACAAGCCCATGTAGATTGGTGCTGGTTTGAGATAAGATTTATAGAAAAAACTGCCAAAAAACATGTTAAATTATCCTTCCTGGGCTGCCTGGATTGTTAAGACTGCCAGTATTTAAAGCAACTTTTAGTTCCAGCTCTCATAATTTGGAAATCTGAATGTCATTGATTGAAGTCAGCAGAAAAGATGGTTTGATGTCTGGACAAACAAGCACTCAATGCCCTTAGTGAGAGCAGAGATGCCTTTGCCTCAGAAACATTCTGTCTATCAAGAACATTTTGTTCTTACAAGCCATTTAAAACAATTGTTACTACTTGAAATCAAGAGTGTTTATAAACTCATTCAGTGAGGTGATTATTATAGTGTATTGAATACTAGAAGTGCCATTTAAGAGTGCTGGCTTTAACTTATTCCCACAGAAAATTATCATGACAAATGAAGACTTAAAATTATAGTGCTGGCTTTAAAAGGCTGTGGTAGATTAACTGTAGGGTTTCCTTTTCTCCTGACCATAATGGTTGCTGAAACCAAACTTATTGATAAGAATGCAAATAGTTCTACTTTTGTGTTTAATGTATTTTTCTTTTTCCTCCATAGCAATGCAGAACTTTCTGAAAAAAGATTTCGAATGAACAGCTTTGTGGCAGATTTTGGAAGATCTTTGGAGTCTGAGAGGGTCTTTTCTCACCAAATGGTTGAAGAATCCCAGTCACTTTTCCATTTCTGCATTAATGAAGTCGACCATATGAACAAAGAAAAAGAGAGTCAGAAAGGTCCAAGTCTGGAGAGTAATACTCACTTCCAGGAGGTTCCCAAAAGCGGTGGAACATTTGAGGAAGACCTACATTGTCTTACAAAATTTAACATTCCTAACTTTGTGAACACTGAGCAGAACTCTTCACTAGGTGAAGATGATCTCCTCATCTCGGAGCCACCAATCATTTTATAAAGCAAACTGGTTATGCAATCTTCTCATCAGATGCTTTATTGAAAAAATATTTTACTTTAAGGTAAACATTCCCATTATTGTCCAGTTTTAAGCCTTTCTTGGCCTCCTGCTCTTTTGACAGAAGATAATTCAGACACGTGCTTTTTATTGTATGCAAGACTGGCTGTACTGATAGAACTGTTTAGCCAAGAAGCAAGACATTGAATGCTTTATTCTGATGCCTTCTGTGATCTAAAACTTCTGCTCAGTATTATTTTTGCTTTTTTATTTATTTTTTGTTTCTTTCTTGTATTGTTCTTAATTTTTAAATGACTACTTATGACCAGCTTCTGAAAGATAATAATTTACATGGACTGTGAAGGCTGGAGCCTGGCATTGGGAGGTCTATGAAAATTCATTGGCCAAGAAAAGTGCAAATCTCAAAGACTGAAGAAAGGAATAAACAGCCCCTGGGGGGGTTCTGTAGTTTCTGCTACTCCCAATAAGGATGCCTGAAGCTGAGCAGCACAATAAGTATCTGCTTGGGACTAACTTCAGTTTCTGACCCTTAACTGCTTTTTGGTGCAGGTTAAACCCAATTTACAAAGCTGCCAGAGGGAATACCTTGGAAATGAAATAGTTTGGTTACAGTGTTTACAAAATGCTATCACGACCTGCTGCTGAGTAAAAGCAAACTGGTGCCTGTAATTATACATCAGAATGACACCTCAGCAGTTGACCCATGACATAGAATTTGTATTCTACACACTAGCACAAACTGTGATTTGATTCTTTTTTTTTTTTTCCTGTTAATTGATGATATGAACTTCCAGTTCAGTAATTACAGGATTCAGTAGTTAAATCACAGGAAATAAGAAAAAAACCTATTTTTCTTTTGCCAATAAAGTTACTACATGCAGATGGTGGTGGTGGTGATATGTTAAGCTGGTGTTATGTGTTGCTAATAGGCTGAGCCTTCCTATGCTTTTTGCCTTTATAAAAGATAATTTACTCATTGACCAGTAAAGTGCTAGCAGGCTTGGAGCTGAGAGAACCAACTCCACAAGTATAGCTAAGCTGTGCTTGCTCCATCTTTTGTACTCAATTTGGGACAGTGTTGCAACCCCAGCTGTCCTCCCCGTAAAAGATTTGGTAAGGATTTGAATAGGTATAGTTTCAACCTTTATTTTTTAGAGATGGAATTAAGTTCTGAAACTTTGAGAGTATTTAAAATTGTATTTCAGTTGTCTTCTAAGGATGGTAACTAATGATTAAATAGTTTTAGAGCAAGCATGTAAGATGCAGAGGTATCAGGTTCAAACCCTTTGCTGGATTTCAAGTATGCTCTGCAGAAAGTTCTTAATTGAGATGAAAAGAGTGAATTCCAGACACTGTGCCTAACTGGATTTTCTTGAAATTATTGTGCTTTATATCAAACACATCTGTGTTTGAGGTTAGAGACTTGCTGATACATTCTTCAGTCAATGCTGATTAATTCATCCCTTCTTCACCTTACAAATAGAAAAAAGATTGAGCATTTAAAGAATACAATCTGTGTAGGAAGAGTGCAGGAAACATCTTTTATGCCCTCATTACACACCACTTACACACTAAATTCCTATTTTCAATTGTAATTCTTGAGGACTTGCTGGTGTTTAAAGCAACAGGATTACACTTAAAACAAAGCAGAGACTATTTATAACTAGCAGGCTATTTCTGAAAATAGTTCCCAGAGGAGACTGAAATGAATGAGCACAGCTCCAGTAAAATATTTCAGGTGCAGAAAAGGCCTTCTTTCACAGGAACTACATAACTATAAGTATGAAGGCTGTAGATGTGACTTTTCTTAAATTTGGGAAATCTGTCTCTGAATATGGCATCTACTTCCTGCTGAGGCACCTCAATAACTATTAGCTCTCTGATGTTTAAACCTTGAAGCTCAATATTGCTCTTAATAACATGTGGGACTTGTACTAAATGGGGCTTTTATAGCTGATTTCTGGATGAGTGAGCTGCCTTCAGTACTCTTTGTGCTATTATTTTTATTTTTTTCTTTGCTGTGCTTGAAAACAGCAATGCTGCTTGAGGGAAGGGCAAATCTATGTTAAATCCATCTCCTTTGCATCTGAGAAATGAAGGGTACTTTAAAGGCATTTAAAACTATGTTTCATAGATCATTTAGGCTGGAAAAAGACCTTTAAGATCATAAAGTCCAACCATTAACTCAGCATTGCCAAGTCCCCCTCTAAATCACCTTCCCCCGTGCCACATGGCTTTATAAAAAAAAAAAAAACACAACACTTTTCCCATTCTTGAGTGGGTGACTCCACTGCTTCCCTGGGCAGTCTGTTCCCCTACTCCAGAACCCCTTTGTGGAGAAAAAAAAAATCTCAAAAGTTTCAGAAGTTTCAAAATAATGCAGATGGGGTTTTAGAAAAAGAAGATGCTGCTACTCCCTGTAAGTTAGCCTATGCTTTTCTTCTGCTACCTTAAATCTCAATGGCTTTTCTCTGGGTATATAAACTACTACTTAGGGGAGAAAAAGGAAGGATTTTGTGTATGGATACTGGCAATAACGCCTAAATGTAAGGTGCCTAATAACATGAACCAGAGCTGATGCCAACTTAACTTATAACACATTTGAATTGCATAATTAATATCCTTCTGCAGCATATGTTAATAATGTAAAGCTATTTAAGTGTTTGGTTTCTGCTTCTGTTATTTCCTGATGATGTTTCTACTTTTTTCATCTTATCTTCCTTCTATATTTAAAGTCCTTCATGCTGCTTCTCTCAGAAAAATAACCTGTCAGTTCCTGCTGTAGAGCTCCCACACCACTTCACAGACACTTCAGTGGCAGCAAGTCTGATTCAGATTTTTTGCTCTGCCTCTGCCTTAGAGCCAAAGGCAAATGCAGAATCGTTCTGCAGTCTCAAAAACAGCTATTTTAAGGCTGTCCTTCCTTCCTTTTTATTTTCCTTTTTAAGAATAACAGACATATTTTGCCTCAGGGGAAAGGGCAATATATAACCTGTTAAAAAAAAAAAAAATCATCTTTTCTCAGAAGATAAACACATTGGTGCACTAGAAACAGAATAGAAAGTGTTCAGATCAGAGTAGTCTTCAAAACAAGTACCTGGAATTTCAAGGTGTTTGAAAATGGAATTTTTTTGAGTTTTCTTAGTGCTTGGCCTCAAGCCTCTTCTCAAAACTCAGTATAAATGCATCACCTGCAGCAGATTTAACTGCAGAGCTCCTCTAAACCAGCTACATGTTTTTTCACCTAAACATGTCTTGTATTCTGTAAGAACTTACTAAGTCAAGTTATTTATATCTGTTTTAAAGGTAAATACTTGCAAAATGCTCCTCTGTGTAAATAAATTTAAAAAACAAAAGGCAAAACCCCAAAACCTATAATGTAGTAAATCAGTAAATGCCTGCTCATAGAGAAGAGAAAGAGAATGGTAAAACTGTGATCATCTACAATCAAGGTGAAGTAAAGGAGGTATATTTGTCATGAAATTAAGTATTTATGCACCTTGACCTTGAATACTGTAACACTGACATTTTTTGCCACTTTTTAGCCTTGGATATTGACAGGTAGCAAGGACAGCAGAGAATGAACCTTCTACCAGCATGTTCTCCAACGAACTGGCTGAGAACTGACTGCACAAATTGCAAAAAGTGAATTAACTACATGAACATTAGGGCAGCCCTCTCCTAATGACTGCAGGATCATACATGGGAGAGGGTTTCCAGTAACCAGAAATGATTCCTCTAGGATTCCTGTCCTAGGAACCCCTATCTAGGACCTGGCCTCTCTGGGAACACAAGGGCTGCAGTAGTTGAAAAAACATCTCTCACTTCAGGTCACACACTTTTAATACAGGGTTACATAAATAGCAAATTGTACAGGAAATAAATTAGTTGAAATGATTCAGTTTTTTATCCTTTTCATTTGCAGAACAGATCCAAATCAAGAAAATGCATAATATTTACACATAGCTGATATTTTATACACAAAGCATTTTTATATTTACACGTTTTATGAATAAAGACTAATACTTTTTTAGATGGGGACAGAATAGAAATACTGAAAATACCTGGACATGGAACAACCAAGCTTACCATGTCCATCCTTTTTTAATTACTATATACATATATATATATATATAATATGTATGTGTATACAGGCTCATTTTATGTTTGTGTATAGGTCAAAAAGAAAAATCCTTGCACTTCAGCACTATGTCCATATGGTATAATTTGTTATACTCTTTTGTTTTTTATGCATGCTAAGCTACATGCTTGTATGAGAGAAAATGCACATTTACTGCTGGTCCCTGAAGAACACAACACGTAAACATACGCACACACACACACACACACACAGACCTGAACTGTTTCACATCTGACTTAAATACTAGTTTCAACCAATACTGCAGGTCCTCGGGGACCTAAGGAGTACATTCTAGCTTTCATCTTCTCTTTGCCTTAAATAAGTATATTTGATTGAGATACAACCTCAATATATGTGCTTCAGAATTCTTAAGGGCTTATAGCCAGCAAAACTTCAAACTAATAATGTACTGATTTATTGGGAAAGCATTCCTTCCAGCCACCAAATAGCCATCATCATCTATTTTGAATTTTCTTTATTTTTAGTTGCTGCTTCTTCCTTTTAGCAGCAGGTTTTTCATACATGTTAAGTGTAATAGCCATGCTCATCACCTTCCCCCAGTCTCCTCTCTGGAGCTGTGCAGTTCCTATGGCTTCAGAGGTTTCTAGGGCTACATTTCCTGGAGTAATGATTCTTCTTTTCCTCCACTGGGTCCATCTCTTTCTTCAAAGAAGAGCCTAAAAGCATAGCACTCTAAGGTACATATATGTGCTGCAGTAGGAATTGCTCCTATGTACCTGCTCTATAGCATAGGTGTGTAACTAGGCCTGAGGAGAGGGAGAAGGCAGCAGCCTCCAACATTCAGTGTGTTACCTGCCATGATGCCTGTCAGCTCAGCAGAAAGTTACCTCCACGTTTGGTATTTTGGTCTGGTTTTTGGCTGGGTGGTGGTTCTGGTTTTTTGTTTTTGGTGGTGTGGTCTTGTTTTGTTTTCATTTTGTTTTTGTTTCCCTGGCCCCTTTCCTAACTTGCTCAATATTTTAACTCTAAATTTCCCCACCTACACCTCCCTCAAGTCTGAGCTTTAGCACACTGTAATTACATCTGACTGGTCTCTGTCTGTCAAGATCACCTACAGAGGTGCTTACTATGTCAGATCCTGAACAGCCCATTGTAAAAACCTTATCAGTACAGCCTTCCCTTTAAAAAGGGACACCAATAACTACTCTCACACTGTATTTTATAGGTTTTTTTCTGTATCTGCCCTGTAAGACTTCAGCTAGACCCACTCTGCCATCATTACCAGCACAATAGGAATTATGTGAATAGGAAACAAAGAACAGCTTGAATCTAAGCACCAGCAGGGAATGCCTGCCCTGCTCCAGCCCTCCAATAATTCATTAAAGTGGAAAGAGGTCTTAAAGATAAGTGAATGAATATTATATGAAATGGAGCAAGACAAGCAAATATTGGAAAAAGACACTTTTCCTGCACTATGGAATGAAATGCATTTATGCTATAAACTAAACATACAAACCAAACAGCTTACTACTCAAATTTTTTGCAAAGGAATCACTATAAGCCAGGTTAGAAATCAAAGTTAAAAATATTCAGGCATATTCTAAAGTCTGTGAAAGAAGAACTTTTTCAGTGGTAGTTGAATTTATGGAATAACCTCACTCCTCCTATTAAAAAAATACACAAATTTATTACTAATAAAATAGAGGACATACAATATGACTAGAGTATTGCTCAATGTAAATCTGCCTCCTGGACATGAGATATTTCAGAGAAGATCAGAATGCAGTGCGATTTATACACATTACAATAATGATTTTTGATAACATTTTCTATACATAAGTTAGAATATTAAAATTCTGCTGCTGTACTTAACTACTACTTAATCAGGCCTTCCAACAGCTGTTTGTCACTCCGAATCCACTGGAATCAGGTGCAGGAATAATAACCCCTTGTTTCTGCAGTTCACGTAAAACATCTAGTATTGAATCCAATTCCATTCGAAATTTCTCCAGTTCCTGGTTCTTCTGCTGTGCCAGCCTTCGCCACTTCTCAACCTCCTGGTTTTGCCTTACTTCAGAAATGTGCTGTGTTAGTTGGGTTGCCTGCAAATTAGAAGAAAGTCAGCACTGTGATTTCCTATGCCAATACTCAGTCAGTGCTGCCACTTTGCAAAAATCTGCTACATCATTTCATCTGATGCTCTGTCGCAAAGCTGAATGCTCACATTAAGATGAAACAATTTGTACTGAATATTACAAAAAAATAATTTTGATAGCAATGAATTCCTTTAAATATTTGCATTAATGACAGAAGAGTAGTATTGATTATTGACTAACGAGTCCCAGGAGAATTTAACTTACCGTCTCCAAAGCAGCAATTAAATTTGAATATTTAAGACAAAGCTCAACATATAACATAAAACCCTCTACAAATCAAAAGAAACTTTTTGAATTGCCACTTAAATATGGTAATTAAAATAATGCTCTGCAAAACATGAATGACCATGTTGTAGCCTACAACTCTAGCTTTAAAAACCACAAGTTCTATAAATTATCAGAAATTGTCCTATGGTCACAAAGATCTGATGCTGCTGCAGATAAAGGTCTGAATAACTTTAACACAAATCCCTTACATAATCCTGTTAAATTACACAACATAAGAAGTGTCATAAAATATTAAAATCTCCATACCACAATTAATTGTAATAGATTACTTAAAGAAAGACTATCACTTGAAGACCATAATTATCATACTTGCAGTTTGATACTCGGGATAACCTGTTAACTTCATGCTCAGCAATTTCCTTTTCTACACTATTCATTTTAATGTAATTCATTTGGGCAGCTGTTCAATGCCCCAGTGCTGATGGTTAAAGGAGAAAAACTAGAACAAAATAAAATTCAAAGCTTAATACATAACATGGGCAAGAGCACCACAAAAAGATGAAATTATTTGTTACTAATTATGTATACTATTATTTCTTTAAAAAAGCACCCAAAACATTACAAAACATCTTAGTAAATACTATTGGTATTCAGTGGAGCTAGATAATGGAGTAGGCAGCAGCAAACACTTCACAGAAATGGTAAAGACATCCTCACATTATATAAAAGAAAATTATAGCAAAAAATGAACTGTATTACAGTCACCTTTAGCAGAACAGAATGTGAACAAAAATAATGAAATCAACAGTGGCAACAGGATTTGTTTTTAATCCAATGACTTGTTTTATGCACAGATCTATTTTGAAAGAAATTAAATATCTGATATAGAAATGTACAAGAAGAAATTCTTCTACGACAAAAAATCTGTATGTTAAAAGTATATTTCTTGAGATCTGTTTTTAAAATTTAAAATAAAATAAGATATTTCTACACTTTCAACATAGCTTTTCTGAATAGGGCTGCTGGGACTACATAATTATGGTTCAATTAAGGAATATATCATAGCTTAGATCTGCATTCCAAACTGTTGTCAGTTTTCAGTAGCTTGCTTTCACTGTGTAACTGAAGTATGAAATAATGATATTGACCTCAGAGGTCACACTGTCCAACCTCTGAACAGCAAGGCCTTCAGACCAGGCTGCAAGGAAGTTACACAAGTAATCTTAATTACCATAGCAGTGTCAAGCTGACCAGGCCTGCAACTACACTCACTTGCATTAGCAGCCAAAGACAAAACCATGGCTGTATAAAAGCTACTTCCCTCCTGCAGTGCAAGCTAAATAAGCCTGAATAAATACCATAAAATTACAGTTAAACCAATTAATTGGTCTTCAGAAAGAAATGCAGTTACACAGTGGTGTACCTTTTGAATTTCATGCTCTCTTTCTGCATGTCTGCTCTCTATATGCTTGATTTTCTTTTCCAGGCACAAGAAATGTTTCATTTCAGGACTCTGGCTCTCCCTAGCCTCTCTCAGTTCTTCCAACAATTTTGTCACCTACAGTCAAAGAGAATTGATAAAAATTGTTATCATTGTGTTAGGCAATGTATAAATCAGATGCCCTAAAAAAATGTATTTGCATTGTTTAATCATTACATCCAAAAGTTGTTGAAAGGAGGACATAAAAGAGAAATCTCTTTTGTTCAAAAGCTTTAACAGGGACTCAGGGATTTATATTAGGATTTTTCATTTCTAAAAAGTAGCCTGAGGACATGAAAGTCTAGTTCTCTTTGATAAATTCAGTTCTGTTAATAATTTTATGAAGGAATTGTGTTCTGTCAAATTTTATACTTCACACAACAAAAGTTAACAGAATATTATGATTAGATGTTCTTACACTATTCCTTATCACATCCAAGATACAGACCAAATATAAAAGATACCACTGTATTTCTAAGGACTAAATTAATTAAAGATATGCTGCTAGAGATGATTAGAAGCCTGCATCTAAGTTTAATAATTACCAGGTAAAATCAACTTGACAATGACTTAAAACTGATTTCCTAATCCTCCAGAAATTGAGGGAAGTTTCCTTATAAAGCCCTACTGGATTACTCTCATTCTTTGCCTATTTTAAGTAACTTGATAGTCCTTCATTTAACATCCAAAGTATATTTGATCACTCTTAATGTGTATAAGTAAACTAAAGTGAAAACTTTGGCATATTTGTCCTTTATGATAGTCCTTAGCTTCCCTCAGCCAATGTATTTGAGAGCTGCTAACCCTCTTCAAGCACTCAGCCACCCTTGGCTCTCTGCTGTGAACTCAAGCTGGAAGCATTGTGTCTTCATTGTGTTGTCACTCTTACTGAGAAGTGACTCTAAGGCAGCTTATTATTATTTCCATATTTTAAGGTGGCTTTCTAAAATAACAAGGCCTATGTCAGTGCATTTTTGCCTGTCCATTACTCCAGCAGCTTTTAACCTGTTCATCCACGTTTGTCAGAGGAGCAAGACTTAGTTTCAAAAGGTCTGTGCAACTGAGTGTCTGCTGCTTGGCTGCTAAGTTGCCCCACTGAAGGGAAGGGCTGATGTGTGGCCTCAAGTATACAGTTAAATACTATTATAAAAATCATAGTGGAAAGATCTCACGAGGGGAAAAAAGCCCAGGGAGAAAATGGCCTCTGTGTATTTTGCCAGTAACTTAACCACGTCAAATACAATGCAGTGCTACATGCAGCTGTTAAGGAAGTTAATGGAAAACATTAATGAACAGCACTTCTGAGATTAGTATTCAAGTAACAATCTTCCAAGAAGCCTCAGGAAAAACTGTGTCTTTCTGGACATGCCACCATTTTAGACAGAGGACTCAATCTATTACCAGTGAAGTGCTTTCCCCTATCACTATTACTTCGATTTGCAGGTTTGGTTGTCTTCTCAGCAAAACTTACTGAACCATTTAATGCTTAAGATGTATTTTAAGAGAAACACAGAAGTTGTGCTAGAGGGCAGAAGCGAGGCTTGACATAGATATTTCTCTGTTCAGCCTTGCAAGGATTTCTGTAACAAGGATACTCCTTTACATTTTCTTAAATACCAGCACCTTGGAGTTGGCCTCTACCATGTGGGCCAGATTGGATGATCACTCTCTTAAACCATCACTGTCAATAATCTGCAGTCATAGAGGAAACAATAACATTTGTCTCACTGTACTCTTGCCCTGTTTTTCCAGGAAGAAGTATTACTTATACTGACACCACTGGAATGAAACAAGCTTTGTAAGGAAATCCAACATGAAGCCAAAGTCTCAGCCTCTATTCTGCAACATTACTTAATATTCAGAACATTACTTAATAGGACATCTTTTTTCTCCCTCTACAAACCCACAGTTTTATACAAGTACATCACAACAGAGGCAGAATTTTTACATGTGTAAGATAAATACCCAGGTAAATCTGAGTTTCACGAGATTGAGATTAATCGCTTTTAGTAACCCTTGCAGGTTAGAGTATTATCAAAATTAAGTTAAAATTAGTGATGTTCATACATCAAGGAGATGGTGAATGAAGCACAGGCACAATGCTGAGACAGGCTACATCCTCCTCCTGAGCAGGAGGTGCCAACAAACTGGCAGTACCTCAAGAATAACAAAAGCAGAGCCAATGATTCTAAAAGTTTGAGCTAAAAATGGACAGCCATTTGACATAACATGTCAAAAGCAAAGATAAGAACAAACAAAATTTTTAGATTATATGCTATTGATAGAAATAGAAGATTAGAAAAAAAGTACTTTTCTCAAAACCCACTAAATTCCTTAACTTTCATAGCTAACTCTCCCTTCTTAAGACACATTAAGTTTCAGAGACAGCAGAGGACTAACCCAAGAATATAACTGCCTAAGTCAGTTTTATGGCAACGGAGGATAAAAAAATAAAATCTTTTGAGTACAATAATAAAAAATCTTAATAAAGAGGAGTGAAGAAAAAGTTCATAACTCTCAGAGGGTATGAAAACCTGGATTAACCAGCTGATTAAATGTCATACAGATGTCAGACATTTCAAACAAAATAAAAATAATAATAAAAAGATGAAAATCAAAGAAGGTCAAAGTTCTGCTCTGTATTGTTCCCCTGGTCACACTAGAAAAACCTTGCCTTCTCAGGGATAATTGATGTAGAAGCAACTGATGGAGATTTTGTTTCTAAGACTTATTTTACTATATATTATTTGAGACTTGACATGAATTAGGATGAAAACTCTTATTAGACTAAGGTACCCCCATTGGAATTTAAATTTACCTCTTTTTGTAGGAGCTGCTCTCTTATCTGTGAAACTAGAAGAGCTTCTTGACGTCTCTCTTGTTCACCAAGTTGTTCTTGAAGATGTTTTATTAATATCTACAAAAGGTTTAAAAACATTTTGTTGTTAGCATACACACCCATGACAACATGTGAAAACCTAGGCAGGAGAAGTACAGAAAAAAATAAGCAGCACTGAGAAAGCTGGGGCTGTTCAGCTTGGAGAAGATTATGTGGAGACCTCACAGCAGCCTCCCAGTATCTGAAGGGGCCTACAAGGAAGCCAGAGAGAGATTCATCATCAGGAACTGTAGTGATAGCACAAGGAATAATGGGTACAGATTGAAAGAGGGGAAGTTTAGGTTACATATTAGGAAGAAATTCTTTACTGTGAGGGTAATGAGACACTGGAACAGGCTGCCCAGGAAGGCTGTGGACACCCCAAACCTGGCAGTGTTCAAGGACAGGCTGAATAAGGCCTTGAGCAACCTGGTTTAGTAGGAGGCGTCCCTGTCCATGGCAAGGGGGGCTTGTGAGTAGATGATCTTGGAGTGTCCATTCCAGCCCCTTAACATTCTGTGATTCTGTGATTGTAGTACTGCAGGTGTAAGTGATGTGTGTATCAACAACACTGCCTCCAACATGTGTGTGTGCCTGGGCTGCTAAATAGCATGCAGGTACATATGCAGTAATTGAAAACAAGCCGCAATCTTCAAATTCCTTTCCTTATTTTACAATGTTCTTAAATAATCTGAATGAAACAGCTCTTTCTACCCTTTTGTATCATGTGTAAAGCAGCCAAGAGAAGTGATGGAATCGCTCTACTTAAAGATAGTCAAAAGCCATGTGGACATGGTCCTTAATGACCCTCCTGAGCAGAGCAGTTGGACAAGACGATCTTCAGGAGTCCCTTCCAACCTCAGCCATTCTGGGATTCTGTGAATACTGTGGCACAGAATGATTTTTAAAACAACAGATCCTACTTCAAAGAATGTAAGTTTATAGTAATACAGAAAGAAATAACTTTAAGATATATCTATATGTAAGTAATATATCTACTGTATCTTACCTCCTGTGTTGAAATTCTGTTCTTTAGTTCAGCTACTTTAGAAGTAGAATGTTCCTTTGCATGCTGGCAAACAATCTTCTCGACTTCCCTCTGGTGGGAAGCTTTCAGAGATGCAATGTATTCTGCTGTGTCTTCCTGCATCCTGAACAGAGCAAGAGAAAAGTGAGATGTAGTAAAGCAGCTACAGACAGTTCTTCAAAAATGCAGCAGCTTCTCACTTGAACACACAAAATAAAAAAAATGTTAAAGGTGGCATATCTTTGGTATTTCATAACAAAATCTTTCAAGACAGGATCATCATTTATTCTACTCCTATGGAAGGAGTAAAAGCTGGGAAACCTACAATGGTGGATATGTGTATCATCTTACTAGAGGCAGTTAGGATACAGAAAATTCAATCATTTTTCTGGTTCCTCTTATTAAAACACTGGCAAGAAAACAGATGCTTTTTAATTATAATGCACCTCTCTTCTTTTAGGTATCTATTTTAGAAAAGAACTTGTTGCAATCTTAATATGCTAATTTCTTCTGCTTTGTGAAGGGATGCAAGGGAGACTAAGGCAAGTATAAGGTTTCTACGGTCGGCCAAGTAAATCCCACTGAAAGCATATCCCAGGTTTGAAGGAAAGAACACAGACCAAATATTAATGCTATACAACACAAAGCATCCAGGACATGATGATTAACACTGAGATATTTTACTTAACAGCATAAGAAATTACAGTATTAATAAAAGCATTAATACAGGTTTGCCTGTAGAAAGAACTGTGACAGCGCACTGCTTAAAAAAAACACAAAGTAACAAAAAACCCCCCTAAAGCCCTCCCAGAGCCAGGAAACAGTATAAATGAAGGTATAAGCAACCTCCACATATGGCTGACATGTTAATGTGCTACTTCAATCCTATGTTTGACAACACTTTAAGAAGGTTTTTAAAGGATTATGTCGAGCATTTACCTTCGGATGTTACTTTCAGAATAAGCCAGTGCTGCTTGAGACTTCACCCGCTGCTGGCTCATTTCTAGGGACAATCTCTCCAGCTCCTCTTTCAGATGTGCATTTTCTTGCAGAACTTCCGAGAGATGAGAATCAGAAAAGGTATGTGGTTGGTGTACTTTGTCATCATTGAAAATGCTTAGACAGGGTTCAGTGTTGGAATTCTTTCTATCTGTTGCTGAGGTATTCTTTTTTGAGACCTCTGTAGAGTTTCCATACGTGTTTGTTTTATTTCTCAAATTATTATCAGACAACATCACCATCCTTTCTTTTTGAAGTTTCTCTACCGTTTTTGTGAGGTCTTGTATTTCTCTATTTTTAGTGACCAGTTCTTCATTTAGTTTTAACAACCTGTCTTTTGTGTTACCTTGTTTCATCTTAGAGTCCATGGACTCTAAGTCTTTATTATAATTTTTACTTCTGAGTTTTAATTGGGAATTTTGACTTTTAAGATTTTCAATTTCTGTTTGGAGGTTTCCAACAGTGATCTGATGGGTTTTCTTTAAATTCTGAAGCTCCTGTTCAAGTTCTGCTGAAGTGGCTTTATCACCATTCAGTTTTGGTGTTTCATTCATAAATTCGAAGGCAAGCAGCTGCTCAAGCTCTGCAAGTCTTTGTTCATACTGTATCTAGGAGGGGAGTATAAGGCAGGGACAAAAAAGCAATTTTGTAAGTGTACTGTTATTATTAGCTCTTCCTGTTATTCTTTAAAGTTACTGCCCACCTGAAAGAAAACTTCAGAAGACAGGATACAAATCAGGATTACTAACAAACTACTCAATCAGTTCAGAAATTAATTCTGCTGTAAAACAGGATTACTTGAAACATTTACTACAAAATAATCTAATCACAATGGATGCAGTAATTATGGGATAGAAAATTAGATTGACAAGAAAATATTTCATTTTTATGTAATTGAGTTCTCTTCAGATGTTAATTTTGTTAATGTTAATTTTGTCGTTATGTACTTGTTATGTCAGCTGGCAAACATTCATGTTATATGTCCAAAATTGTACTTTACATTTTTCAAAACATCTTAATTTTTAAAAGAACAGATCTTTCTTTTTAGGTGTTTATATGTATGAACACAGAAGTATGAATTCAGAGAGACACAAAATCTTTCCTCCTAATAAGCTAGGAAAACTTAACCTTCTTAATAGCTTGGATGGCCTTTGAGGAAAGTATAATGAGCAACTTGTGGAGAAAAGGTGGAACAACTGGCCAATGCTTTCTTTCTTGCTCATTAGGCACCTGAGCAGTTCACCTTTTCCTTGAAGTAAAATGCCAGACTTCCATGCTTCCTAACCTGAGTCCTTAGGTTCACTATCACATGATTTTTGGACAGTATGATTAGTGGTTCCCAATTCTGCAGAAATGCTCAGTCGGAAGACTTTTGAAGTCACAGCCTTTGGTACAGCAAGGAATTAGATAAGAAGCTACTCTGACCCACAGGGTGAAAACCACTTACCTTAATTATTAAATTATTATTATAATTAAATTATTGTGCCTCAAGAACATATTCTCTTTGTTTCAATACCACCCTAGTAATTTCGAATTTCAATTTTTTATCTTAGGTGCTGAAGGTGCTGAAATTCTGGTTCTAAATCCTTTGAGTATTTTGTTCCCCTTAAATGTGGCCTTTGCCTTTAGTTTTAACCACTACCCTGTCTTAAACAGTTGTGACTCTTACTTGCAAAGTGGACAACTCAACTTTTACCTTTATTTTTTGAAACTGTTGTTCCATGGCACGGAGGCTTTTCTTAGCTTCATCATCTTTACCTTCAAGTTCTGTTTCCAATTTCTTTATTCTTCTCTCCAAAAATTCAACTGTGTTTGTTTTAGCTGAAAGATCATTTGTTTTCTCAGCAGCAGCAGCAGCAAAAATCAAAGCAGGCAAGGAATTTGGATACCTTCTTTTCAGAATTCCTTCCATTTCTCTGATCTATTCATAAGAAAAGTCAAAGGTCAAAAATAATAAAGTTCTAATGAAAAGGTAACAGAAATAAATGACAGAATGTTAACAAATTTCAATCAGTTAAGGTGGAAAAATGAAAACTATGGATGCATATATTGAGAATTATTTTATGTTCCTCCCATTTATGTTTTTGTTTACAGAAAAGCCAGACTCATTGTCTCTTACTGACTAACTTACACATGATCTTAAACAAAATATTGCTCTGGTCTTCAGATTGCCTTATGTCAATAGTCAAAAAAAGGGATTTGAGTATGGTTCTTAATGCTGTGAATATGCTTTTTTTCTGGATTTGCATTCACATTCTATTTTTCCAACTGTTAAAGATATTTCAGAGCAATATTGGAGTTACTGTCCCAATAACAGATTATATGCCTTTTATTTCGTAGTCTGCAATAATATAAAACTAATACTTTGCATGCAACATTAATAACAAGACTCCCTTTTACCTATGGATAAGATATTCATATCAGAATTCTGCAAAAGCTCTTGCCCATGACAAGAGCTTGCCTACATCCCTAACTAAAGCAACCACCACCTCCTGAAATTCAGGAAGGCCCACTTCCACTTTTTGTTTCTTTGGTGGAAACACTGGAATCCAAAAGAATTTAAACCCTTACTCTTGAATCAATTTGGTTGAAATTCACCATACTGTTAAGGAATTACTGAACGTGGACAGGAGTCTTAGAGGACAGGAGTCTTACAGCAAGCTTTGGCTTTTGCCCTCTTGCCCCTTTCAAAGAAACTCTGAACAGTTATTTTAAAAGATTTTAAAAGGGATATCAGCTTGTTAGAACATAGTAGTAAGAAGAGCTCTTTCTAAGTAAATAATTGCAGCTTGTTGCATTTATAACACAATAACACAAGTTCAATTGTTATTGTGTTCAATAACACAAATAACTTTATCACAGAACTTCATGCTATGCTTTATCCTTATGAAAGCACTAGGGTTTTAAGAGACCTTATCTGAAACAAAGGTTAAATGAAAGACAGTTCTTTTATTGCATACCTGTCGCTCAAGATCCTGAATTCTTTTAGCATCTGCTGCTCTGTCTCGCAAACGTTTCTTCTGTTGCACACACTGATCCCCTGCTTCAGCTCTGAGCTTCTCAACCTGTCCAATTTACAAGGAGACAAACTGAAATATGTATTCAGAGACATTGTCCTGTATTACAAAAGCATTTCAAACACACACAATACAGTGGAAGTATTCTGCCACTTAAAAACTCGTAAAGGTAATTTCAGTACTAAATGATTCTTCTGACTCTTAACCCACATGACAGTTTCCTTCTCCAAAGCAACTGAAACTAGATACAGAAATATAAAAGAGAATTTCAGCTCTGGGACACCCTTGTCTTCAGTAAAACTTTCTTTCCTTCATACTGCCAGTATGCAGGCTTCATTAATAAGCTGTCATATAAAGTACTACAGTGCTTTCCATGATTTCAGGATGAATTTAGGAAATGGTTTGCGATTTGCAATGCTACACTATGTGGTGAAATACAGGAACAGCCAAAAGGCAACGTTAAGCAGTGCCTAAATAAAAGCTGAGTCCCTGAATAAGGGGAAGGAGGGCCTGGATAACTCACATTCCTGCACTTCTAAGTCTGGCCATGAGGACTCAAAGCTATAATCTAAAATTAAATTCCCTACCTTTATTAGCCACTATGATCTCTGTACAGGGATATTACACCCTGGATATTTAAAAATATTCCTCTCTTGAATTCTCTCCCACATCAGTAATATTAGCATAAGTCACGCTTTTATGCCAGCATTTTATAGTTTGACTGATTTGATTATTTCTACGAAGTCACAGCTCTAGGCACCAGAATTTTTATACACCAGTCCAGCCCAGAGAAAATGCCAATAAAAATATTTTCTTTCACAGGAATGGCATCTTGATCAAAGTTTGATATGGGGTGTCTTCTGAAGGCTGCTCCTTCAGAAGCACCTCCTTTCATCTGCGATCTCTCTAACAAAACATCATAAAAAAATCCCAAGATCAGTTACATTTTAGCACTGGTAAAACTTTCTGTTTTGTTGGTTTGTGAATCCTAAGTATAATGTACTGACAAGTAGACAATGTAAATCTCAGCAGTATTCAAGATTCATGTACTAGTTTTGTTTTAGATTTCAAGTGTTGGGTTTTTCCTCCCTACTGCTGTAACCAGGGAGTTTTTCCTAAGAAAGAATTTAGAACTGGCACTTAAGAGAAAATAAAAGTGTGGCCTAAGGTACTATGGAGCACAGAGGAGGGAAAGAGAATGAGAACAGAGGTGTTCCTGGTTTTTAACATAACAATATACTTCTTTCCCTTAGGTCAAGAAATTTGAAGATTTTAGGGAAGCATGTTACTTTTGTTCCCAGAAGCATAGCCAAGATGTCCAACAGAACCAATCTAATATATATTAAAAAAAGGGATTATTATGAAGGAAATAATTACATTATCCTCATCACTGGAAAAAGAAACAATTTCCAGTTCCAACTTTTACATAAAGCTAGATATTATCACCTCTAGTCTTAATTTTTCAACTTCTTCTCTTGCATCTTTAAGACGGGCCGCATCTTTATCCAGAAGATCTTGATTTTCTGCATACCACTGAAGTCTTTTCTTTAAATTAGTAATTTCCTGTTTGTATGACTCTTCCATAACTTTAAATTCATAAGACTTCTCACCTACAAAAATAAAAAGTTCTTAGAATTGTTTTATTAGTAATTGTGTATTGAAAGAGGAATTAGTCAACACTGTCTTCCTCAGCATATTTCATACATTTACCATTTTGACAACACTGTTACTATAGTAGCTTTAAAACCAGATCCTAATTAGGATTTTAAAAGCAACAGCATTTGTAAAAACCCCTTTATTTCTCTCATACATAGCAGTACTCAATGGCTTACAGTTAACCACAGAAAGTATTTAAAACAGAATCTATTCTTGATCTATTCTTGATCATGGTCTAGTAAACCAACCTTCAGCATCAGGATAAATGACAATGTAGAATATATGCTTAGATGTGTATTGATCATACTACTCCCATTAAGGGTTCAAACATTTCCAGAAGAGACATGGAGTTAAATAGTACTGCACTCAGCATTTGTGCTACCTGACACTGGAATTGAGAGAGTCCAATTTTGACCCTTCTCGCATTAATTCAAACTGGAAAAAGCCCTGGTAAGAATACTGAAAAAAGTCCCAAGGTGTATGTTATAGGTGAAAAATGGGCAAGACCTAAATAGGAGACTAAGATGTAACATAGTAAATCTTTTCTTATGAACAGAGTTGTCACATTATTGAAATCATCTGTTTTCCATGTCTAGTGAAAGATGGGCAAGAAATCAAACTTAACAGGTCATAACAAAGAGTTTGCTTGGATACAGGAAGATACTTTCTAATAGCATACCAGAAGTACTGCAGCACGCCCTTCACCGTATGCTTTTGTTAGACATTGTTTGGACATTGTTAGACAACATTTGGAAATGGTCTAGGATGCATTTCACTAAGCAATACATTATTAAGAAACAAGTTTTTGTTACATATTTATTTACTGAAATGCAAACTAAGCAAAATTATTCAACAAAATAAAGGTGCTTTACTTGATGCAGATGCAATCTGGACTTTTGCTAAATCTCTCTCTTTCTTGGCTTGTACCAAGTCTACCTCAAGAGCTTGTTTATCTTGTTTTAGACGTCTTATCTCTTCTTGTAATTTAGCTTCTTCTTTCTGGGTTTTATAGAAAACATTAAAACATGAAAAACTAAACACATAATATCACACAAAACCCCTTGCATGCCTTTTCATTATAATGATTAATTACAATGATTAAATCACAACAGTTGCATCCAACCACAGCAACAATAAGATCTTTTAATTTTGGTATTCTTCTCAGGCCCTGCTATAGCAGAGCATGGGAAAACATGCTAAACATTAAAAAAAAAATCCAAACTCCAGATTTTTTAAGCCTTACTTAACTGTCATAGAAGTAGAAAACATCTGCCTTTTGAGAGGGCCAGTAAAAAAAATGGCTCCTGAGACTGGAGACTGTAAGTTACATGGAGAGATGTATTGTCCAACAGTTCACCTTACTACATTCTACCTGCCATTTTCTTCAGGCAGTCTCTCTTCTTTTTGCTACACATGAACACTACCAAACTTCAAGACCAAGTAGGACAAAGTGTCTCGGTGCCAGAGCCATCTCTAGAGATGGAGCTTCTTGGTCCTAAGTATGGACAGGTACAGCAAAGATCAGCTGGGGGGCTGATATTTTGGGAGCAGCCAGTAAACAGACTGAGTGTCTAGGCATGTGCATGTAGGTTTGTTACTGCTAGTGAGCTCCTATCCTGATCTGCTGAGCAGGCCACATCAGGCCTGTGTGCTCCTCATGTTTCCAGCAGTTATTATTTGTATTTCTGTGCTACAAGCAAAGGCACTACTCTGTGATCTTATAGGATTGGTATATACCTACCTGTGCTGCTCGAAGCTCTGAAATCAATTCTGTGAAACTCTGATTTCTGGCTGACTCAGAATCCTGCATGATTCGTGACTGGTTATTGGTCTTCTCTATCTTTTCTCTAAACAACAATAGCAAAAGCAGTTATGCAGAATGGTGACTCAGCATACTCTCAGTGGCTACTGAAAAACAAACACAATCCCCTGCCTTCCAAATTGTACCACAAAGTCAATCTGTGCAGGTTCAAAACAAAAAGAGAAGCAAACATGCACAACATTTATATACAAACAAAATTCACTGTAAGGTGAAGTCTTCTCACCTCGCATGAACTAGTTTATTTGGACTGCACAAAGGAAAGAAATAAAAATCGATACTGCATTAGTGGAATTCATTTACAGGCCTGTACAAAGCAAAGATCTGTAGATTAGGAGTACACACTCCTAAGTTGTTTTTCCTCATTACTAGCACAGGATGCAAAACTCACAGGACCTACAATGCAGTGAATAGAATGGTTTCTCCACTAGCAGAACCTCTTGTGCCCTGATCTACTGTGTATCTTACAACAGAATCAAAACATCTCAACAACATCAGCAGAGCCATAATATCAGAACAAGTGTTGTATAATGTATTATGCATTCTGATATGAATAAGAACACTGAAATATTTCCCAAGTGGAAGTCTCTAGTCTTCCCATGGGTTTGCAACAGCATCAAGAAAACAAAGAATTAAGTGCCCATAATCAACACAAATCAATTCTCAAAAGAAACAAAACCACAAACCTGAGAAACACTAGAAAACATGCATCTGATTGACTCTGCAATGGTGTAGCATAAAAAAAAATAAACAGCAGAAAATTCCAGAGATTTTGGGTCAGATATGTAAATAAGCCTACCTTAAGTGTATTAATTCAGACTTTATGCACTGATTCTCCTTAAACATTCGTTCTTCGTTTTTTTTATTTTGGATTTGTAGCTCTTTCATTTGTTTATATAACCTCTCATTTTCCTAAGTTGAGACAGACAAAGTTAAAGACTGTTCATAAATGACTGTTTTCTACAGTTATAAAACAACTTTGTATGAATCACAGTTTCCCTGCTGAAACAGTGGAAGAAAATGTTACATATTTCATTACTGACCTTCTAAAATGGGTATCTACTTTCATTATCTACAATCTCATCCAAGTATCTGCTCACTCTGCAGCAAAGAGCTAAGACAGATCCTCCACAACCTATCCCAACTATATTCTAAAAACATGTTCATGGGTGGGTGCTGATAAATCAGAGCTCAGCGTGCCCATGCTCCAGTCCTGGGGGCACAAACCATCATTGTTTGGGATGCTCACAGCCATACTGGAAAGACATTATGTTTATATCAGGGAATTATGCTTAAGCTACCTCCTGGATTTTACAGCTGCAAGTATTCAAAAGGATTACTAAGCCTGAATTATCTATTTCTCCACTTGACTCAGTAATACAAATCAGGCATGCTAATAAGGTTACCCTGGTATCTGCTGCTCAGACCTTGAGAAAAACATTTTAAAAAACAAAATGTTTCAGATTTCTTATGTTGCTTAAATGTACTGATTTTAAATTACATTTGGGCAAAAAAGTTTGTGGTTCTTCATTGACCATAAAGTATTTTCCCAGTTCTCAGCTGAAAAGTTACTGATTTTTACAATTTAGAACATTTACGTGGAACTGTGGAAAAATTTAGTCCAAACTAGATGTGTGAAAGACTTTTTAAATCTGCAATATATTTGCCCTTCACACCCTAATTCCATCCACTTTTTAGAAAACAAGGTACTTGTTTTCAACAGAAAAGTAGTAACCATTAAACAGTTTTGTTTCTGAAACTGGGTAGAACACAGCTCAACATGATGTGTGGTGTTACCTGTTGATAACCTTGAATAATGACCTCTTGATCTTCAATCTCTTTTTGTATTCGTGCCAGTTTTTCCTCAGTTATAGGAATTGTTGCTGCATGGGTTGACCTCTTTTCTTGGGCCATCTCTTCCATATTTCTTAGCTTTCAGAAAAAGGCACACAAGAAATAATAAAGTTTTATTAGCAATATGAAATTTTCTACAAGACTACAGTCCATTCTCTTCATTAAGCTATGAGAGCAGACCAATGAGTGGCTCTTACTGGAGTTTCACAGAAGCATTACAAAACAGAAAAAAGGTATACAGTGTTGGGGAAAAGCTAGAAGTTTCTGTTCTCACGTGTCTAGAAAAGAGGGTACATTACGAAGCAGGGAGTTATCTGCAACAAGGGTATAGTGGAATAAGTGGAAATATTTCATACAGATGAAACACAACACTGAAAAATGCATCAAGAACTCAATGTCTCAACATAGTACCTATAGTACTTATCTCTAACAAGTGGTATCTGTGAGAGTGAATTAAATCTTTGCCAAAAGCTTGCTGCAGGACTCTTGAAATAGCAACGTAAGGAAACTCAGGATAACATGGTTTATCTCCAAGGGAAAAAAAAAATCACGTCCTACAGACAATAAATGTAACAGCAGGTATGCATTTATAAACTTGCAGTGTCTGTGTAAATTTGGATTTTCTGCTCATCAACAACTCATGTAAAGTAACATCAATTCAATTTTCAGAAGCAGTATTTCTTCTCTTCTATAGGCACAGGATACAAGATGACAAAGTACCTTGCTCTGAAGAACATAGTTTTCTTGGCCCAGATGGGAAAGCTCCTTCTCATGCTGTGTTTTCAGTTCCACTACCTTAACCTCCATCTCCTTCTCCTTTTGTGAAAGCTTACTGGCCAGCTGTTGAACCAAATCCCGAGCTGTGTTCAGGTCCTCCTCTGCTGCTTGTACTCGTTTTAACAAATACAGCTCTCTATCACAGCTTTTGAAAGGGGAAAATGGTAAGTCCTAGGGTAGACAATTCAGAGAAACATTACACTGAGCTGATTGTTTACCAGAACTCTGCTCATCAGTTTTATTTAACTAGTTTGTCTGGGTCTCAGCAAAGCACTTGAAAAAACAACCCAAAATAGAACCCTCCCAACATTTTAATAGCAAATCTTCCTATATTTATTTTAATGAGCTACCTTCTAATTTGCAAAATATATATGAGGAAAACAAGACAAAAACCCAACAAGAAACAAATACATCCCATATAACAGCCACTATATTGCTACCAGAATTATCCTATTATGCATCTTACTTTTAGAAAAGCAGCAATGCTTTAGGTATTCAATGAATAGCTTTTTCATGCAGTTAATAGCGGAGAAGGAAAAACCATTATGGTACTGTAAATTCAGTCATCTTGGAGAAGTCAGAAGGTACTATTAAATATTTAATGCAATGCAAATAGGAAAAAATCCCTGAACAGTAGTACTATTTAAACATTAATACCAGAATATTATATGTAGAAGTTCTATTTAACCTTAACAATTAAATAGTAATTTTTAGAATTTAATAAGCAACTTTAATTATATAGAACTGCCAAAACAACAGCATTATGCAAGCAACTGAAGAGCAGTATGATTATATTTGTGTATTTTAAAAGCAAAAATTAGTGTTTGACCAAAGGGAAGTCTTCATTCAGTATTTCAGTACTTGCCAACCTTGTGATAACTGTTAAAAGCCTTGAGAAAATAAGCTTGCAAACCAAGTTGTACATGCTATAATTAAGAGCATCACTGATTATTACTCACATGATGATATTGCCTGTTATAATCCCCAGCCTGGTGTCCAAGATTACTAACAACTGATTGGCCAGACAAAACTCTGTTAATACTTCCCTCCAAAGTTGGTTCATTTGTTGCAGATCTTATTATCCTAGTAGCAAATAAGGCTTCTTCATTTAGGCAGAAAGTAAAATAGAACAAATTAAATTCAGAATTTTATGTCCTTTAAGAAAAATATGTATTCATGTGATCCAACCTGTAGGTATATAAAGTATTCTACAACCTGAATTTTGAATGAAATATAGAAACTTGAGAACAATTATATACTATGGAAAAACTGGAGGGTTTTAGTTTTTTTTTTTCAGTAAGGAGCTGATGACAAGATACAACAAAATGCAAGAGAAAAACTGAAACAAGTAGTTGGGTAATAAATCCTTAATGAAATAAGGTTAACCTCACTCCTCCACTTCAGAAGTGGCCAGTTACTTAAGTATACAGAAACACAACATATTTCAAGCTACAAGGAAGATAACACAATTTTCAAAATAGACTCTGGAGTGCAGACAGCACAGAAAGAAATGCAACATTTATTTGTTTCATCAAATAACGACTTGACTGGAATAAGAAATCAGGAAAGTTCCCCCTAGAGTCACTAATATATCACTGTTCACATCTCAGTCTTCTGAAATACAGATAGTAACTACAACTGCCATTTCAACTGGTTCTGCTTAGGAATGTAACACCTGAAAAAAAAAAAACCCTTCAGACAATGATTCTTTTTCAAATTTCATGCGTTTTTAGTGTCACACACCCCTCAGAAAGGTGCTTGCTTAGCACTGATGACTTGGGAATTGTTTGATTCAATGATATTAATTTCAATGAGATTAATTTCAGAAATCATCTAAAATTTCTATAATGAATGGCTATAGCTAGGGAGGGAAGAGCAAGTTTGAATGAAGCCAGTGGTCTTAATTCCTCAGTACTTGTCATTCACTTTACCATTTTCACCAGGCTGTAAAAACCCTCTCTTCCCCAGGCAGAGACACAACAATGTACTGAGGAACTGAGGTCCTTCAGTTCAACACCTGCCACTGAAACATCTCCCTAAGACAGGTAACGTAATCCTAAACTGCTTATCCTGACTACCTGCAGGGTTTTTAAAAAGCACTGCATGCTAGAAGTGCACTAAAGCCTGGGTACCTGTAGAGTTACTTGCCCATGCCTCCGGGATAGCAAACATTGTCTGCAAAGACACTAAGCTGAATTATGTCATGAAACCCTTCAGGCTTCACCCCAAAATAAAAAGGTTCAGTCCTCTACTTGCAACCCAATTTTCACAGAATTACACTGCTATTCTCCTTTCCATAGTGTTTCCAAGAGAATGAATAGAAAATAGGACTTCCTTTTTAGTATTTTTTTTCCACTCCAGGAAAGCAAAGATTAAAATAAGCTGAGAACAGGAATTCAGTCTCAAACATACAAGTAGTGAGTCAGTGAATCTTTGCATTTACTATCATGAAAAATATCACCTTGTAAATATTAATTTTTGAACACCAGCTTTTTTTATTCTTTTGGTCCTACTGGTGAAAAATAGGTAAGTCTCAAACATAGTGGTGGTAAATGTGAGTGGAAATGAAGCAAGACTACAAAGATTTATATAAAAGTCTCTCTCACAGCAATTTCATGCTAATACATAAAACTATCAGTACTTAACTGCATTTGAGTTTAGATTTCTCTATGACATTTGGGGTATTCTAATGTGAAGCACAAAAAGTAAACCTCTCTGGCTCTTAAACTCAAAATTAAAACTCATAAAACTTAGAATTACCTTTAGATTTTGCTCTATCTGCAGGACTTTTGGCTTTCATACAGGCGTTTTTGAAAGTTTCTTTTGGTGTTTTCTTTTCACTAACTGGAAAAGACTGCTTTGAAAGTAAACTGGGTTTCCCATAGCCAGAAGTTCTAACCAGTCCATGAGGACCATGTGAAGGTTTCTTTTTATGTACAGGTGCTGGACTTCTGATATTCTTATATGACACTGGTTTGGTTGTCATTGATCCTGATCTTTCATTCTTCAGGGAACAAGACCGAAGAGCCTGTGACAGAACACAAATTTTAGGCTCTGCTGTAAACTGAGGTATCATTCTCCAGTGAAAAACATTGAACCAGTTACCAAAATTACACAACTATAAGACTCAGGGTGATGGCAAGCATCATTTTTAACCAAATTAGTAGTAAGTAATTTTGCAGAATTGTACTACTTCACAACTATATAGGGCAAGTGTTTTGTAATGGCTCTGTTTAACTGATCTGGGAAATTGGGAAATTTATTTTAATTGTAGTGTACATTACAGGATCTTTTGCTTAACAAATAAGGGAGTTCATGACTAAAGGCTAATAAACACAGTGAATATAGAAACCCAGCCATGAAGAAAGTAATAGCGGTAGGCAGAGGAACCCTGCTAAATCTGATCTGATTGAAAACAAAGCACACAACTCCCAACACCAACAAATAAAAATGTTTAGCCAGTTTGCCCTAGTGGGCAATCCACTGGTATAAATCAGCCAAACCTCTGTCCCTATAATGCCTTGCACACACAAGAGATGATTGCCTAAAGGAGTGTGAAGCTAATTTAGGGGATGCAAGGAGGAAAGAATTTGGGGATTCAGGGAGAAGATTTGGGATTATGTAAATCTTGCTCTGGAATGTCTGAGATGATTGTAGGAATGTGCAAAATTTACAGGATCTTTAGGGAAAGAACAAAAAATAGGTAAAAACAAGTCTGGGAAATGGAGAAAAAATCAGATTAAAAAACCTGGTGACATGACCAGGTTGCTGGACAGCACGCTTGTCTGACTCAGCTGGACACTGACCACTGCTGTCTCTTCTATATTCTTACTGTACTTAATTTCTAACTGTTCTCTCTGTACAATTGTTCTATGTTCTGAGCCTGTTGTGTGTTTACATGTGTCCCTCCAATGCTCACATGCTCAGAGACATCACTATCTTGAGGATATCTTGCTGGAGATGTGGCATTGAAGCAGCCTTGCACATATTGGGCTGGGACAAGAAGAATCCCACTGGTCCCAATGTCCACTGGATTTGGTGACCTCCATCAGTAGCAGTAGCAACAGTAGAATTTCAAGAAAAAGAACAACAGTCTCTCAATTTCTTAACATCAGAGCATAATCAATTGTTATGAACGCACTCAAGAGAGTGATATTTTAGACAGGCAGTCTAAAATACATACCTTTAAAAATTACTTCCATATAACAAAAATTTGGCTGGTAATACTTACTTTTTTAGTTTTGCTTCCCTGTGAAAGCAGAGAGTCTTGTCCTATTTTTTCTCTTAGTATATCAGGCTGTTCTTCAATGGTCTGAATTTTTTTCTCAGTCATCCTCTGAAAGGCATCGTCATTCACACTTCTCCGTAGAAAGATGTTTTCTTCTCTGTTAGACTTTTCAACTAAGTTTTTCTCCCAAGCTGCATTACTCTGGGGGTCTTCAAGGGGTGAGTGGCTAATGAGGTCATTTTCTGTGCTGCCCACCAGTTTCATAGGACTACAAGATAAAAGAAGTCATATATAATAAGACTTGCCCTTTGCTTTTCTATCACTCTGGAAAAAGCAGAACATTTTTTCCTTAGGTATCAGCTGTAAAGACTGCCTGAATTTCAAAGAGCTACTAAGCCCCTTTTAAGACCCATCTTACAGATTTAGTCATACAGGTTTGGCTCCCATGCTGTGTAAAGAGTCACTTCTCAGTAGCAACTGTTTTTGCGTAGGTAGCAAAACTGGCTACAAGATAAACACCTGTAAGCCTGCAATTAACACTAATAAAAAAATGAAGAAGTATTTCTGCTGAGTGCAGCTATGTGATAAGCTCCCTGAACTCCTCTGCTAAGCATAAGCTGTATTTCTGACAGTTCCAAGGCCTGTGCTGTCTGCTTGAGACAGAACAGTTGCAGCAAATAAGGGGGATGTATAGACTACAGGTTAGTAAGAATCACAACAGTGGGGTTTAATCTTAAAAGGATTTGAATTTAAGATTATGGAGCTTGGAGATAGGATAGGATAGGATGCGATTAAGAGCTAGGATAGGATGTGGGCTGAAATCCTTGAATGGAGAAGGGGAAAGAGCAGAAGACTGGGAAGGCAGAGAGCCTAGCTGTGAGAGTGATGAACACTCCTCCAAATTATTTGACAAACACGGCTGCTTATTACCCAAAGTAAGTATGGGAATCCCTGGTCTATACCTATTAACACTGCATAACTCATTTAGCAGTTCACTGCAAATGCCATAATACCAGTGCAGGATGTAACAAAATTTCAGTATTTAATTAGAGAAAGAGATAGATGAGTTATTGAGAAAGGTATTTTTCACAAATCGTTAGCAGCTTTAAGTTACTACAATTCTCAAAATGCATCTTGAAATACATACCTTTCAGTGTCAACATCAAAATTTCTGATACTATGTCCTTTAATTGTTTTCATCAATTCCTCCACAGTAGGTAAATCTAAATAATGAGAAATAAATATAAAATAAATCAAGTAACAACCTAGAAAAAATATTTGTTGCAAGGACATTTAAAAATGTTTCGTAAATGGACTATTATAGATATTACTAGCTCACTTGTTTTACAAGCTTGTACAATACATGCCTCCCTTTGAGCTATTTACCTGAATCAACAGTTGACATGTTTTTTGCATAGATGTCATTATTTTGTGAACTGCTTTGCCCTAAGCCTTCTGAGACTGCCACTGCAGAATTGTGCAGCTTCTGCTCATCAGTGTCTCCCAAAGACTGACCAATGTGATGATACGCCTGGTGTAGTGCTTCCATGTCACTGGTGGTTTGTCCACAGGAAGTACCTGAAAAAAAAGCAGACTTGTAAGAGACACTACTGGATTTTCTCTTTAGGGAAACATCCCTCTTGAGCCTGTGTTTCAGTTACTAGCTTGGTCTATTATGTGGGGAAAACCGTGATATCATTTACATTAAAAAAAAAAATTAAAAATCTCATTTTTCCTATAAAAAGAAACAGCTGCCAAGTTAATTAGTGCCTACTAAATTGTCTCATCTACACTTTGCATTCCTCTCCCCCATTCTCTCCCACCTCAATATTTTAACACTACTAAAATAAACATTATAAAATAATATACATACACACAATATATAAAATTATATGACTATTTTAACAGGTGCCATCACAGCCATAATCTGGATATATGTGACCTGTACCACTGTGCAAAGTTTGATAAGAGAATGTATTTAATAATTCAGTTCAGTGCTGTCAAAGAAAAATTTTAGATATGAGAAATAACCAAAGGAGATGGTATTTAAATATGAAATTGCAGCATCAAAAGCTACTTTGCAATAACCAAGTGTAAAAAGGGGTCTTTTTAGCAGAAACATCACTATTTCCTGAAATGTTTCCTCATGTTTCAAGATTTGTTGGAAAAAGCCAAGGGCTTCATGTTCCCCAATAATCTAAGAACAAATGAAGACACTGAAGTCACCTATTTTAATAAAGTAAGATTTCAGGTTTTGAGTTTTGTTACATGGTGGGGTTTATTTTAGTTGTGTTTTTTTTGTTTTTTGGTTTTTTTAAAGCACCTCTTACCTGCTTCATTTATTTCAATTGCACTGACATCTTCAGGCTGATCATGTTCACCTGGAGCTACATCTGATGTTTCAATGGCCTTCTGAAGTTCTACAGTGGAATCTTGTGAATCAAGCAATACAACTGAGAAGATAAATGTTAAAGAAAACACAAATCTTATTTATACTTCATCACATTGGAATTAAAAGTATACCAGAGCTTATCTTGATGTCTTAAGCATACAAAAAATACTATGTAGATTATTTTATTGCCATTAATGGAAAATCAGTGAACTCTGATTACAAATTTGAGTTCTGAGGAGATGCAATAAATATAAAAATACATTGATAATCACCTTTAAGTGTTAAAAGTAGATTATTTTAACTATTTCAATTCAATATATTTTCATTAGAGCACGATATAATAAGGTGAGAAATACCAAAATAGTAAAAATAAAGTAAGCACGTTTCAAAAAGTTACATTTAATCTTCTTCTACGGATCAAAGTTTATATTTTACCTTTAGCCAGCATGCCAGTGTTTGCTTCTTCCTAACAAAAAAAAAACCAAAACAAAAAACCCAAACAATTACTTCTTGAACATCAGGGGGAAAAAAGAAATTGGACAAACTTTAGAAGTTGGTCCAATACCTAAAAACAGTTTTTAGAACTTAGAACTAAGCAGTAATTCATTCTCCAAGAATAGGCACTTCTCTGAAACCCTCCCTAGGACACCAAAAAGTTCACAACATCCTGTACTCTATAAACCTTTTCACAAGTGAACAGAAATTAAATGCTCCTCTGCATAGAGGAGCATTTTTGCAGCTTTCTGATTTTCTTTCATTGTAATTTGAGAAAAGAAAGTAGCAGCAAACACATTATTTACAATTCTATTCTAACATTTCAAACATTTATTAGATATACCACTCTAAGAAATTTATTTTAAAAGAACTAAAAACCAAGTAAGTTTACCTAGTGAAAATGAGTACATGGTGCTCTATAAATTTCTTTTGAAAAAAACCCCTAATCTGAACATGTGCTCCAGGGATGCACCTATGTGCTCCAACCACATGTGCTACACATCACAACACCTGACTAAGCCAGCTGTGCCCTCACAGCTCAAACAGTGAAGATTTTTGGGTCCTCTGTACAGAATTACTTCCAGTAGTCTGTGTCACTTGCACCTTAATAGCTCTGAGAAATTAATCACTAGCCATTCTGAGGCTGAGTTTCCACCTGAGCTCATCATTTGTGTACTTCCACCCTCATTTCTTAACTCAAAGGAGTAAGCAGGAAACCCTGTGAAGAACTTAACCCTTTCTATGATCTATCATATCATTCACACAGGAAAGTGCATATCCTTAATAGAAAGATATAGTCTGAGGGCCACTATATTCTTTCTGACAGTATGTATCATATAAAGGTTTACTATATTTAGTTACATATTGCAGAGCTTTTAAAATTCCTGCAAGTAATAGAGACATTTAGCAAGCTATACCTGTTCTTGAGGACTTAAATCAACTTCTGACACGACTTTTTGATTCACCTGATCTCCCTCAGTTTTAAGGGCAGAATTAGTATCTGTTTCTTCTTCAAAATCTTCACTGTAGCTACCTAAAAGAGCAAAATAAACATCAAATAGAATGAATATTCAAGGAAGATAAAGTAGTAAGAGACAGCTATTTCCTTTTCCCCAATGCCTCATCTAAGGACAGCCACTGCTAATGTTAGTCCTTTTCAACAGGAAGTTTCCAAAACTGAGTGTGGTACAAAAACTACAGTTGAAGTCACACATAATACCTCTAAATTCAAAGGATGCGTGCCTTATGATCAGATATACTTCATCTCCTTAAGGTGCACTTGAACTGACCCCTTTTACTCAATTACTCTCTCTCACTTAGAGGTGTAAGGATACAATTCCAGCCCTGCAGATAAAGTACTCTGTACATTCACTTTGACAACTCCAGCAGTTTTGAGGCTCAGAGTCTGTAATTTGGCTTCTTATGACCTGCTCTGGTGGGTCAAAAGCCACTCTCAAGAATAAGCACTCTTTAAAACCAAGTGTGTCACAGAATGAACTTTACAAGCAAGCTAAAGGCTTTTCTTACAGTTACCTAGATCCTTTCACAATTTTCAGTTCTCTTTTGCTGTATCTTTCCCTCTCAGCTCCTGTGGTTACAGGCTCCAGTGTCTGCATCATCTGTAACACTTAAACCTAGAACCCTTGCAAAACACTGGTTCAATAATGTGTTCTTTATGTGTTTATGGTTTACAAATACATCCTCCTTATGCTGGGAAATTCAAGCTTAGCAAAAGAACCTCTCAAAAGTTCAGATAAATATATAAATTTGAAAATACAATCCAGTAAATTACATGAATACACTCTATTACATGCCAGCAATGAAGTATGAAATAAAGAGACATAACAAGAAAAAAAAAAAAAGCAAAAACACTGCAGATTACACAGATTAAACTCAGGCATGAGAAGATGGCACAAAAATACAGATAACAATTAAGGTACTGGAGTAAATGAAACATTAAATCAAACTTCAACAGCAGAGTTTTTTTGGTTTCTTTTTTTTCCATTTATGATCGATGCAGGGTGTTTACTGCTTTTTTCTTTCCTTTTCTTTTTTTTTTTTGTCTTTTGGTTTACAATAGATTAAAAATCCACTTAAGAAAAGAAAAAGCACAGAAGCAAAAGTAAACCCCTTAACCTCTCTGTATGAATAACAGCTGCACAGTCATAACACAAGGACAGCGCAAAAGGCTGATATAAGAACTACAGGTAAAAGAAAAGATTGTATTACCAGATTTCTCTTCATGTTCAGATTCTTCTTCTTTTTCAGCTTTTTCATTTCTGAGAAATAAATTGAAAATTCTACTCTCTTTTTGCACAGCAAATAAACATACTTTTTTTCTTGGAACTCTACATGCAGATGCTTCTTACAATCAGTAATAAAAGAAAAAATTGTAATTTGTCCAACAAATTAAATCAAAGGTAAGAAAAGTGGTAAAGTGTCAGCAATTATTAAAATAAAGTATTTCCCAGCTAAAAATCTCAATCTAACTCTTAAAACCACTCACCTTCTGCATCCTCTTCAACATTTACACTAACTTCTCAAACAATATTTTTATCAAGGGTTGCCTCCTGTTCTGACTGTTTCATTCTGGATTAACAACATTAATTTAACATCCACCCACCTCCCCTTTTTTCCCCTTCTCCCACAAAACAAAAATTTTGTCCTTATCTAGAGCTTTCCAGAATTCTGCCACTCCAACTCTTTTCATATCAGAAGTTGCCTCTGACTCAGCATTTTCAGCAACTGCAGCCTGAAATTCCCCTCATCCATTTCTCCCACAGATGTTTGGACTTATTTTCATGTTACTGATTATAAATGGGTTGCCCTAGTCTATGAAGAGTAAGTATCTTTCCTCTAGATTAATTTGTAATATCATGTCTAAAGGGACACAGAATCTTTCCTGATCCATTTCCTTGTTATTATCAATTGTTACCTCTTCATTTAGTTATTCCTTACAATTAGGAATGTTGTTATTACTACTGAATTACAACTTTTCTTCCCTCTAAATTACCGTATAAATGGTGCTAGTATGACAGAATCATTGGAATCCAGCTCTTTATTTAATCTTGAATAATCAATAGTAGAGGAAGCTTCTTGTTCTAGCTTGGCAAAGAAGATTTCTTTTTCTTCTTGTTCTTCCAAGGTATCCAATCCAACTCCCATGATACTTTGATTAGGCCCAGAAGCTAAAACTGAATCTGAATTTCAAAAAAGAGAATAAACTGTGTCTTTGCTGTATGTCCACACAGAACAGCCATAATAGTTAACAACTACAGACAGACTTGTAAAATATTAATGGCATCAAATCATCACAAGCAAGTACTAGGAGACTTCAGTTCATGACACAGCTGACAGAAGTGAAGAATCCCATCTAGAAATGAATTAAACTGCTTTTAATAGTAACTTATTTAGATCTAGTTAACTCAATGAAATGGTTGGGCTCTCAGTTCTCACCATTTGTTTCCAAGCTGTCTCTACTCAAAGAGATGGCATCTCCATTACTTTTCTGAAGCTGCATCTTTTCCACATCCATATTTTCATGACTTTCTCCCACAGGCTGTGAAGTGTTCCGCATCTTGACAAAATTTCCATTGGCTTCAAGCATTCCTAGGAAAAAAGTTGCAATATTCTTGACTACCACCCAAAAGCTATTTGTATGACACATCAGTCTTCTAGTCTCCTTCCAGAACCACCAGTTTTAATCTCACACTGCAATTGCAAAGACATGCAGTCTCACGTGTCACGTTCACCTAATTTCCACTAATTCTATAGGTAAATCTTGTTTAATTAATTAAGCTATTATAAACATTATCTTCCAATTCTTTGTATTTGCACACATACCTAAAGTTCAGCATGAGTCAAATGCAAAATCTGAGTTACCATCACATTACTCATGAAAGGCAATCTCACACATAGACCCTATACGGAAATTGACATTTCTTTCTTAAACCCCAGTTAATTGTATTTGATCTGCTATCTCAGATCACCACAGATTTTTTTAAACTTCCTAAGCCACTGGCTTAGCAAGTACATTTCATTTGTTGCTTAAAGGTTATAAGGAAAAAATAGAAATCAAAGTCTCTTAAAAGTCACTGATGAACACCCAGTTCTTCTATTCTCTACATTTATGCAACTACAACTTGTAGTTGCTCTCCTAATCATAATTTCAGTGTTGTGAGGGTTCAACATCACCTTAACAATTCTATGGTGGCTCTCAGGCAGAATGCTGCCATATCTACTTCCCCATGGAAGACTAAAAGCCAGATATTGCAGGACATTCCTAGTTCAAAAACTCCTGCATGCCTGCATGCAAAACACACACGTTTATACTTAGATTCTGAGTAAGATCTTGCTGGAGAAGGGATAGGAGAAAAAATGCATATGCTTTTTATGAAATGACAATGAAATTATTTAACAGTTCTCACAGAAGGGAACACAAACTAAGTCTGTCTTTTCTGACATGAATTGTCAGTTGATAACACATCATTTTTTGTTCTGCCTGGCCACATGATGTTCAGACTGTAGCTGTGTCCTTGTACTGAACACACCAGAAGGAGTGAAGACACTGACAACAGCTCATTTCCTGCTGCAGGAGACTGCAGGAGATCCATACATCAATAACACTAAATCAGTCTTCCATGTGCTGACCAAGTGCTTCAGCTGCGGGATCTTCCTCTGCTCTCTACACAGGCCCATACAAATCCCATTTAAACATCCCATAATTGCCTACATCGTGACAATGGAAAATCCTTTCCCCTTGGTACTGAAAATGCACTTAGGGTGAGGGAAGGTGGGAAAGTAGGAGTCTCAACACCTTTTCCCTCCCTACCAGGCAGCCCTCAGCATGTCCATGCTGATTGTAAGAGCCTCCTTTTTAAAAAGCAGACTAGGTTTATTTTCTTGATTTTAATGACAAATTGCCCTTGCACATCTTATTGGGAGGCTAAGTGCCTAAGACTCCACATCTTGGAAATCCACATTACTGTATCTAACTCCAGCTCTGTCTTCAATAGAGAGCTCTGAATGACCTGCCTTACATGCAACAAATAAATGTCAGAGACATTGTCTAAAAGTCAAGCTCCACATGTATAGAAATTTAATGCCTAAATAAATATATATTGCTACATTGAAAAGTAGAAAATGGAAAGCTCAAAGTGCTGAACAGAAGTACAAAACTACAAATAGCCCATTTCTCAGGTAGCTGAATGCAGTAATTTGAAGTAATTTACTCAGATGGCAGATGGCACTCTATTCTAGTTATCAAGACAGCAAATAGAAGTCTGTTTGCAGATGGGTCACAAGTTAGTGTGCTATTAGCTGTAATCTCACCAGACCTCCAACACCCTATTTTTGATTGAGAATATAACAGCAGAATCAAACGCTAATTGCAACTGACCTCCTATGCAGAGATTTGCAAGAAAGGAGAAGGGATTATACAACAGTAAAAAACCCAGTTAGAATGCTTAATAGAACAAAAGGTTAAAGAAAGAATTTTCCTGTGTTTTTTTTATTTAAATCATCTCATATCCAGTGAAATTTCTCAGCAGACGTATATTGATCGTGAAGGCTTCACAGGGTTTATGTAAACTATCTAATAATTTTTAAATATTTTGCTAGTCAGGGTTTGAGTCAAATCAGAAGTTTTTTTATAAAGCACCTTCCTTAATAATCTGAAAATCAAATACTGCTTCTGCAGCCATTAAACTTTGCAACTTAGCCACTCTCAACACCCAGGCATACCCCCACTTGCTACTGAAGGCAAGAATATTTGTTTTCTCTTGCCCTACACAATCCAAACTCTGAGAAACATATCAAACTTGGAGAAAATAGCCTCATATGGATTTAACAGTCTCTTCACCATGTTTCTGGCTGTTTTAACAGTCCCACAGATTTCAGTGAGACTAGCAAGAGCTGTTTTTGTGGAGAGGGTATTTGTTACTTCTCTTAAAAGCTTCTTAGTCATCTTGAATGAAATGATTTCACTACTTGTATGTTTATATGCAATATTTTTTAAGGCTAAAGATATATGGTTTATATTTTAAAGTACAGCCACTTGAAATTAATTAAACTAAGAACCTGAGTTTCACTTTGAAGAATATTTCTACCTACCACACTTACTTAGAAACATTTAAAAACATAAATACAAAGGACTTAAACTGATGATGACAACCATCTACTTCAAAAAGTAAGTTATTTTTTCCTAATTTGACCAAGTCTGTAAGAATTGAGTCATTTTACCTTTTTAATACCTTATAAAATACAGTAAATTCGTTACCCTCAGAATTGTGTGGACTGTCAGAAGTGAGAGCTCCTTCTTCTTTGTTTAAGGATGAACCTTTCTTGTCCTTATGAAATTTTTCCAACATTTTGCATTTAGACAAAGCCTTGCTGCGAGATGCACTTGAAGATTTAGAGGGAACTACTTGTAAGTGTACATGAACATTATAGATTTTAATGCATAGTGGACAGGGAATAAAGAGAAGAATGAGATGTGAGACTTGAAAGTGACACTTCTGAAAAAGTAACACAGTTCAGCTTCTTATACATTGAATTACCTCTAATTTTCTACCTATAAATAAAAACTAAAGTTAATACTTTTAACTTCTGGAAATAGAACTACTCTTTCCCATCCTTTTTTTTATTTTTAAAAAGATTCTTGATCCATGTATATTCAATTACACTGTTCTAGCAGCACAATAAATGACCTGAAAACAGAGAAAACTAGTAAAACGATTTCAGCAGTAAAAGGTTACTACGAGGTTTGAAAGAAAGCATCTAGACTGGTTCAAAGAAAAGTGGGGAAACATAGGTACATAAGTATAAATTACTACTGTCTTTATCACTGTCAGATATAAGAACTGCATTTGTTTGCTCAAACCCTTGTGGGGACTTGCTCAGCAGTAAATACAACAAACGCCTTCCATTCACATTAGCAGAATTAAGTTTTAGATAACAGCACCTATGCTGAAAACTGCTCTCATGATCAAAGAGTCATAGAATGGTTTGGGTTGTAAGGGACCTTAAAGATTATTCAGTTCCAATGCCCCTGCCATGGGCACAGATGCCTTTCACTAGACCAGGTTGCTCAGAGCCCCATCCAATCTGGCCTTGAACACTTCCAGGGATGGGGCACCCACAACTTCTCTGAGCAACCTGTTCAGTGCCTCACCACTCTCACAGGAAAGAACTTCCTCCTAATACCTAAAGCCACTCTCTTTTAGTGTGAAACCATTCCCCCTTGTCCTATCACTACATGCTGTTATCAAAAGTCTCTCTCCATCTTTCTTGCAGACTCCCTTCATGTACTGCAAGGGCACAGTTAGATCACCCTGAAGCCTTCTCTTTTTTAGGCTTAACATACCAAATTCTCTCAGCCTTTCCTCATACAAAAGGTCCTCCACCCCTCTATCTTAGTGGCCTCCTCTGGACTCCTGCACAACAGCTTTTATATACCTTAGGCTAGCCAGATGCTCAGGGTTAGATTTTGCCATGTTGAAATTGTCATGGTGGAAGAGGCTTCAAAATTGAGTAATTCAGATAAAACTCTCAGTTATGAGTCTTTTGAGTTTACCTTGACACAAGAGAGTAGTCTAGGACATCAAGCCAAATACTCTTGCTATTTAGAACAGTATAGAAGAGTATAGGGATATGTGACCAGAACTTCATACAGCTCATACATCCAAGATAACTAAAGGAAGCTGGTGCAGCAAGCAGAGAAATGGTATTAAACCCATTCTGATACAATGCATAGGTCCTTTATTCCCTCAAATGATGTGCAAGTTCACTAGCAAGGCACTACTTCTCTAGATCTATATTCTCCTACATTTCCTACATCTCCTACTGGTAAGCTAGAAGTGTTAACAACATACTATCTGTTGTAAATAATGCAAGCACCTGATACCTTTTAAAACAGTAATTTGAAATAACTACAGATATACAGATATAACTATGAATATTGCTCATATTTCACCTAATTTGAGGAATAAATCAATTTTTAGTATTTATCTCCCAGACCGAGATGCTTTACAGCCATTCTATGCAAATAAGGCTTATGAAAACATACACATACATTTTCTAGAGCTGCATATACACTCTAGAAAACTAACACAGGGAGATGTTCTACAGTCTACAAACTAGATCACCAACATGATCCAAAGACCAAGTGCCAAATATTTCATTGTCATGGCTTTCCAAAATATTACTGATCTGCTTGAACTTAACACCAGTGCCATGCTTAAAGCAGGACAAGTTAATTGATGTTGTCTTTTATACAGAAGTATTTAACAAATCAATACTTATAATTCCCACTTACTCGCTGGAGTTTCTTTTCAGATAACATACAATGACTCACATAAAATGCTGAATCTAAAGTTATACTGACTAAAATAATCCTGCAGATTAAAGTTTAAGTTTTTCACTTATACCAATTGCTGTTTCCATTCCAGAGGCAGCATGCACAAAGCAGCACAGTCATCAGCAAAGGGAAAAAGAACCATATCAGTAGAAAATAAGTGAAATGCTTATCTGACTGCTGTCTTTGAAATTAAACTAGAAGAACAATGAATTTTAATATTTATTGAGTATGAAATGCAGGAAGTGTATGAGACTTTCTATTTACTGAACACGCACTTAGTTCAGGTGAGAGCTTTTTGTACGGATTTTCAAAGTTATTTCCCCCTTTCCCCAGGCTGACATTCAATACTGTCTGTCCTACTACATCACTATATGTAGTGATATATGATGCTACAACAACTGAGCACAAGTTCACACAATTATTAGTTTCTTCTGAAAATAATAGAAGTACGTGGCAGCTTGGTCAAATGGACAGTTTGCTAAGGATTTTCTACAGGAAACATACTAGTAATACAAGGTTGATACTGAATAAATATATCAAAACACATTTAATCAAATACCAGACTGGGAATCTGAATGGGGACTCCTTTTTTCAGTATTTTCCACTACTTCGGAATGGCTTTCTGTCAGTTTCTTCTCTTTTCTCACTTTAACAAATTTTATTTGAAAATCTTGAAAAGACAAACAGCAGAAACAGACATGCAAGCAAGACAGGACAGAAATTCTTAGTATCCAATTTCTTTTTATCATTTAAGTGACAAAAGCAAGTAGAAAGGACATTACCCAGGTCTCTAACTTGTCCAATATGGGAGACAGTCTCTTGAATCATAATTTGAACATTCGTTTAAAGCTGAAGAACAAATAGTTTAAACATACCTAGAATAACTAGTGGAATTATTTTAAAGTGTATTTTATACTTCTCAGCAAAACAGGCTATTAATTTAACTCTCTGCCTATTTTCTGGCACTTCTGTAACAAGATGCCTTGGGAAAAAATACAAACCAGGCAAGAAGTAAGTGTAGAGCGTATTTGTAACATATTTAATCTTATTCTCTTTGTCTTTCAAGAAAGCATGGTAGAGATAATGAAGTAACTCAAAATCAAAACCTCAAACTGCAAGCAACGTATCAGCTTGGTGTATTACACAAACTATTCAGGCTTTCTTCACATAACATTATCTCTACACACACCCAAAGACATCAACTTATACATATGGAACATGCATTTGTAATTAATGTAGTGCCACACTCTGGGTGAAGGTAAGATTTATGCATTTATTTTGCATTTACTTTGTATAATCATGTTTGATTCATGATGATAAAACAACTTAAAAAAATACTAATTCTATTATCTGACAGTCTACTGATTATGTCTTATCTGCAACCAACATGAAGTTTCAAGCCTAGAAGGACACAGAAGGATCTCCACAAAATTTTGAAGCATGCTGACATTATACTTTCCAAAAATTGAATTCAGCTTATATTCATATTTGTTAGTATCACAGCAGTGTTATTATTTACTCCCATAGGAAATTTTTTTGCTATTTAGGGGACGCTTACATATAACCTTACAAAAAACTACAAGTCTGAATCATCATCTTCTCAGTCATCCAGTGCAGTAACTTACACTGCAATGCTGCTGTACCATCATCTACTTTTAAGAGGTCTGAGCAATACACTACACAACATACACACACTGTGAATGAATATTATACATGGCAAAATGGTATTTGACAAAGTACTTGGAAGCACACAAGACAGAGATATACAGGAAAATATGAGCAGTTCTGGAAGCCTATCCACACTGAATGTCTTACAGTCACCTGACCCGTCATTTTAGGACGCCACAAATCCATCTACATGAACTGAAATTATAGCCACATAAACTGCAGAGAAAAACTCAATTTATCCCAAAGGTGGCCAAGGTGGTCTCTGCAAACGGCTCTCTTTTGACTCTAGGTTAATTGCACTACAACTAGAGCCTATCTTGCAGAAAGGCATTCATCATAGCACACATTTTACAACTACAAAACTGCAACTGCAACCATTTGCAAGTGTCCAGAGTGACAAATATAGCCCTTTCCTCATGGGATGACACAACCAGGAGATCCACTTCATGCCATGGAGTTACCACCCTCTTGCCAAGACAGAAAGAGGAAAACTTTCTAGTAGGAATTAAAGGCCCCTCTGCTTGGCAATATTAAAGTAGTAGGAGGGATATGGCTTATTGTAACTCCTCCACAAGTGGGGTATTCTATGCAGTGGTGACAGAGCAGTAAATGAAATAAAACTGATAATTTGTCTGGCAAAAATAGTGCTCAGGGAAGAATTTTTTGCATGGATCTGGCATGTTTGGTGTACACTCCTATATTCTCAGTTTTGTTATGTCCAGCTGCCAAGATGTTGGATCTTGGAGTAAAAATGCATTACATAGAGATTACTTTCAACTCTCTCCAAAAAAAAATAAAACCAGCCCCTCATCAACATCATGAATATGAATAGGCTAGCTTCTTTTGCATGTAAATTGATTGCATACTGGAAGAACTGGGTAGGCTCACCTTCTGAATGCCTTTCTGTTAAATGAGAATATTTTCTGAAGAGAGACCTTGAAAAGTTTATGATATATTTCATACATCAGTAAATTGTAGATCTAGTTTGTTTCAGTTCTAATAGCTTTAACTTTAGTTAACATGCACAGCTGAGAAGATATTCTTAATTTTAAAAATGACAATGGTGGAAATAGTTTAGATGGAACACCTTGATATAATCACATTGTTTCTTATGATTCTGTTTTGAAATTTACTTAAACCACACAAGCACTGTTCTATAAAACTTGTAATCACCCTGCCCTTTAGGAATCTATTCCACTGTATTTTTTACCATAAGAAGCATCAAAGCTGGGCTGCCTCAAGCATCTCAGAAAAACTATGGAAGCATGCTGAACTCCTAAAGTCATCAGAAAATTTTCTATGATAGTATGAAGAAAAATGAGGTCATGTTAACCTCTTAATTCTCACATTGCACAGCAAGAACACTTTACATTATTTGAAAGTAAGGAAATCATCATATCTCACAACCACCTGATAAGAACTTTCTCATATCCATCTGAGTTTTACATCAACATCTTAAAAGGCCACAGACAAATAAGTCCAGCTACCACCTATTAGGATAAAGCCTAAATGGTACAACTGCTGACTAGGATTTGACTCCTCACTAAGACAACACTGACATGATACAGCTAGTCTTAAAATCTAAGACTACCAGGAGTATTTTAACTCTGTCAGATGAAAAATTGATTTTGTAACTTTCTGTTAAGATCCACTTGCAATTAATACAAAAATTAAGATACCACTAGTTACTGCAAGAAGAGAGGAGGCAATCACCCTGTGGAAGCTCACTACTCATAGGCTTTATTACCCAACAAGAAGACATTGTAGAAATGAAAAAAACAGAGGTGGAAAGCTTGCAAATGATTATATATTTTCTTCCAGAACTATGCGGCCGTGTCAATTCTGAACCAGCAACCATGTCATCACAGCCAATTTTGCCTTGAGCCAGGGTTCTTGGCAAGGGAAATGTTGAGAATAGTGAAGAAATACATCTTGGATTCAGCTGGTGTTGAGAAGTTTTTCTGTGCTTTTCCAACCTACTACAAATGTTGCAGTTAGCATACGTTTATTCAAATTGTTATTTTTCCACAACAGTTTTGAAAACAGAAAGCTATAGAAAGTCAGTATAAAGAACAGGTTGGCTACAAAACACATATACCAATATTTCTGCAGAGTTCATAAGTTATATTTTCTAATTATCTTACTATTTATAATGTGCTCATTTTTTGCAAGTTTTATTAACTCAAAAGCTACAGAAAAAAATCCAGCAGACAGCTTGCACAGAGCTTGAATATGAACCATTAAAAAAAATAAATTCTATTTGAAGTTTATGCTTTACAAACTTGCACTGTAACATTCTAAAACACTTGAGTGACATCAGCTTAATCTGAAACCAGGCCTAACACGCAGTATGAGAAAGAACTAGCCTGACCCCCTGTGGCCAAAACATTGCAAAACTGTAAATTTACCACCATCATCCGAATCTTCTTCAGATAACCACCATGGCACTGAATCCTTTTTCTTCTTTTCTTTTCTCCTGGGCTGTCCCAGTTTCTCAAGCATGCTGCTCTTTTTCTTTGAATTTCCAAGTGAATCATCTGAAAGAGACTGAATCAATTGCATACAAGATTAAAGAGAGCTTTAACATTTTTACATTGTTTCAGCCACTCAATTCTGGACTTCTGAGTCCAGATGCCTCTCATTACTCCCCACTGTTTCTCTTTTTTGTATATGCATGACAAAATTGATTAAGAAACAATAACTATATTCATGTGCTATAATACTGCATATTTTAATAACCCCACTGCCAGAACTGGATATATTAAAAGTTGACTGCTTCAGAGAATATATGTTCAAATGAACTGCACAATCAGTTCTTTCTCAATTAGTTAAGACACATAAGAACTAAAACTCTGACCACACCCCTGAAGATAATGAAGTAGAGCAGAAACAATTTTGCCTCATCTTTGCTTCCTACATGAACATTATTATTAATATTCTAAAAATAAATGTGCACTAGCAACATTCTAGCTGACAGCAAATCAGATTTCAGAAATTAATTTTATAGTTTGTATTCGTGGAATATAATAGAAATGCCAGAGCCATTCCTACCCAACTGTGTATCAAACTTTCATATGTGTTAATCATCCATACTGATTTTGACTGATTACTTAAATCAATAGAAAAAATAATTAAAATCTATGAGTATGGACACCATATGAATTTAAGTTACTGAAAAGGAACAGGAAAGAAAAAACAACTAACTTCTGCTCTTTTCCTTTAATAATGCTCTTTGTGGCCTACAGCAGACTTAGAGCCACAATTAGCTATCCACACATTGAACAAGGAAATATTCATTAAACTAGTGCACTGCAACCTGATGTTCTACATATTCTTTGTGCAGCAAACTGGGGTTAATGGGAATTAAATACTTTTTATCTAAATTTTTAGCTACAGCTGTTAAAACCAATTGTCTTAAATTGTCTTAAATAACACGATGCACAGAGTTAGGAAAAGCCATAAATGGTAAGAAACAAAGAATTCACATACAAAATGCACCTGTGATGGGAAAATTTCAAAAGCTTCACTTTTGTAATAGTCACAAATAAGAAAATGTGATAGTATAAACCCAATATTAGAGGCAACAGGATTGTGGATACTGAACATGTATAACACAAGGGTATGTTTTATTAAAACAAGCCTCTGCAGTCCAGTACCTCCTATTACATTAAATACACTGCCATAAAAACCAACCGTTCCTATGTGACTAAACCTTCAGCTTCTCTGGGCTTAACAAGAATATTCAAAACTCAAACGTCAATTATATAAAGCTATAATTTAAGAAAAAATAATAGCAATAAAATATTAATATCTCTGATAAAGAACATCTTTAGAGCTTTCAGTTTGACTAGAGAAAACTAAATGCCTGTCAATACATCTCAGAAAAAGTGCTCTGAGCCTTGCACTTTAATAAAACACAATTTTAATAAATTATGAAACTGCTCGACAACAGAATGTATTGCAATTTCTCGTAGTTGGCTCTGACGCAGAAAAAAACAGCTTTAGATATCTAATAAATATCTCATAAATAACAATTTTCGGACACTAGTCACAACACAAGTACTAGTGCCATTGTTCTCAAAGGTCAGACTGCCTCCTGCTAGCTGGAAGCGCTGACAGGTGCTTGATGTTGTCACTTGCTGTTTCTTTTACAACCAACAGTATCCTCTGCTGTACACGCAGAACTTCAGTGATGCTCATACTCCTCAGGGGTTTGTAACTAAAGAACCTGAAACACCCACAGGTTGTGCTCAAATTCTGGAAACTTTCCATGTCCAGCCATCTTGTCAATTGCAGACAGTAAAGCTGCAGCAGCTGGGAAAGAAATGCTGACACAAAAATACTGGTGTATTTTTCCCAACATGCCAGTTGTCTCAACAGCAAAATTTCCTAATTTTTTTCCTTCCTTTAAAAAAAAGGTAAATTTACACAAAAGTGTCAGTTGTTTAATCTCAACATAAATAAAAGCCGAAAGAGAACTAGAGCAACTACATGGCACATTGTCAGCTTACTACCTACTTTGCATGTGAAGGAACTTAAAAAGGATAGGTATTACAGAACTTGATCTAAAACACTCAGACTTTCATGACGAGTTGTCCTAATTAATTCATGAAACCAGTATTTTTCAATTAAATAAGTCTACTCCAAAATATGCTTTTATTGCACAACAATATGTTCATCTATTTGATCTTTTAATAAAAACTTGTTTCTCAAACATGGCTTAATGTGCGGTATTTCTCTTCCAGATACTATTCTACAGATATTCTAATAAGGATGGTATAGCCTTTCCTTTTGAAAGTCTTCCTTCTCAAGTATCCATGAATATCAAGTAGAACAAAGGTTAACTGAAAATACTAAAAGCAGACAATGGCTTTTTCACAACATTACTTTGGGTCATCAAAAAAAGGCAATTAATTCAAATAATTGAAGCACTATGCATTAGAAAGAATTTCTCAAGTTGCACCTCCCAAGAGAACATCACAGCCAACACAGCAAACACTGAAAACCTGGAGCTAAACCAATATGACAGATGATGCTGAAGGGAAATCCAATTGACAGTAGGTCAACCAAAACAAGATACTGGTGGTAAGGAGTGGATGGACCACAGGAACACAGACAGTGGACAAGGAAGTGTTATGGGAAGAATTATGGATGACAATAGGCTATCACGGCAAGGGATTGGAATAAGCATAACCAGGCAGAGGAAATCATAAAAGGATTTATCCTACATGCAGTCACTGTTATTATACATTTGTCTTTCCTTCTGTATAATGATAATAGTGTAAAAAATCCACTGATAGCTTTTAAAGTTCAGTGGATATGCCAAAAGACTTAGTTTAATCCTCATGAGACCTGCATCATCCAGCTGTATATAAAGTCTTTCTTTTAACTTCATATGTTTTAATCAAATACAGACATAGCCTAACTCCAAACACAGATTCATTAAGAATTATTTAAAAGGGAAAAATCCTGCTCCATTCCTCTTTGAAAGACTTGCTTAAATGATATTAAATCTTCCCCAAACTACTGACAAACAGATTTTACCATTCCCCACCCACTGTGACACTCTCAACACAAACATCACCTACAGAGAGATTTCAAGAAATGGAGCACAGCAGTTTCCCATCTTTCTAATATTAAAAGGCCAAACACTTTTTATAAAAAAGAAAACCAAGGAGAAGGACACAGCAGAAGATGCATGTGTAAAAATAACAGAGTAGATAATGCCATTGTTATTTGGGTCTGTATCTAGTTGGCAAAAAATACAATGAATATTTTTAATAATGGGATTGGCAGTTTGTAAACAGTTTTTGATTGAAATTATTAAAAAAAATTAAGACATGAATTGTTAAAGTTACATTCTCTGGGACATTCCAAATGCTGCTTAAAATAATTCAATAGTTACTTGGATTTTTTTTTAACGAGCATTCTTAATGTGGGCAATAGATGAGGAAGAAGAAGAGCATGTCAAATGAGGAATAAAATACCAGAAGCAACCACATGCAGACTTTTGACAGACGTGCATAACAAATAAAAGAATAAAACTCCTTTCTCTTCCCTAGAGCAACTCCCTTTGTAACAACAGTAAGTAAAGAATATTGAAGGAAATGCAAAGACTAGTTTTCTAATTTTACTAACATCAGTAATTTCAGTGAGTTCAAGAGTGCTAATTTAGTTACATAGTTAAAATAAATTATTTTTCACAAGTGATTAAATTGCAACACAGTTTACTTTAAAAAAAGTTCAAGCATACATTACATATAACAGTGGAAATATTCTCTGACATCACTAGTTATGCTTATATATAGAATAAAAATTTAGTAAAGGCCTTACATAGCAGCATCTATGTTTCAGGGGTACCACAACGTGTGTCTGACAGACAAGACAGCAAGTTCTGAAATTACTAATTGTCTATTTGCATTGAAAAAAACCATACCTAGTCAGGGCATTTAGATCATGTCTGATAATTCTTAGCTTAAGTCAGAACCCACAGACTTCCATGATTTCGCCAGTATTCAAAACCATGAAGCACTGTGAGGAATTAAAGGACTTTAATTCAAATTTTCTAATGACTACAACATGCTTAATTATTACAAGAATTTTTAAATATAATTCAGTGAGAGTAAGCATTGCACAGAAAAATTAAGAAATTTTTAAAACGTAGCTTGTGTTTATATACAGGCAGAGTTTTTTTTATATCATTTTCAATTATACATCAATTTGAAGCTTCTGTTACTAAGCAGCACCAACAATAAAACTGAAACAAAAATCAAGAACCAAGGGCTCTTTCTGAAGATACAACCAGGCAATGACAAAATGTTTATTTAATTACAAAACTGTTCTCTTGATTTCAATACAGCAAAATAGTATGACTTTAACTTAGCAATTGAGACCTTGAAAAGACCTATACATAAGACAGCAATGTTAATTATGCGGTGAAAGCACAGCTGAATCTTACATTTCATACTCTTCTATACTCAATTTTCCCAATTTTTTAATAGAGAATACAGATGTGACCTTGCTCTCAAACATACCTCTTTCAGAAACTCTTCAAACTGCTCATCTAATTCTTCCTTTGAAAATCGATAAGCCATATTTTGCAGCTGGACTTTATCTTCCAAACAACTGAGTCTAAAAACTAAAATTTAAAATAAAGTTAATAAAATACATTCTGAAATTGACATAATCTAATGATTTGCTTGAATAGAGCTATAAGAAAAAAAACCCCAATCCAAAACTTGAGAGATGACAAACACCATTCTCCCATCCCTTACAAAACTATTTACTGAATGAGACAATCAGTGCAAATGTACCTAGATCACGCAAATTCCTGATAAGCAAAATACTTCCAAAACACCAGCTTCAGCATATAATCTTTGAGGGATAAATAAAATATTATTCACTTCAGCATCTTTACATTTTTCTTCAAAAATCAGCTCTCTTAGCAACCTCTTAGCAATTAACAAAATTAAGCATTTTGTTAATAATCAAACGAGAATCTACTGTAGTAGTATTTCCATTTTAAGGGCTTTTAATTCCTTTCTATGTTTCTTCTCCAACACTAGGGACATCTGGCATTGTTAGTTTTGTTTCATCATCTCTGCTGTGCTTTGGATTTAGTAAACAATAAATAAAGGTAGATCTTTTTAAGGTTAGGGAATAGCATTTGGTTTGATCTGCCCTGACACAGAAAGCCAATGACACTAGCCCCACTCTCCTTCCACTAAATCTGCATCAACTTCCTAGGTATAAAATATGCCCCACAACCAAAAGGTTGCAAAGCTCTTGTGTATCACAGTGCTCAACACATATGGCTGCCTTCAAAACTGCGTATGTATGGCAGCATTAAACTGCACTAGCATCTTCCAGGCTGAGAAGTGTGACGTAAACATAAAAGGGCTAAACATTTGCAAAAGTGCTTTTACCGTGAAGTAAAACTTCTCCCAGTATGGAGCCCACTCAGTACACAGGACTGTTACCTACCTAATAAATTGATTTTGACAGGTGAGTTGTGACAACTGTTTCCTGCTTTCACTCCTTATCCATCCATAGACCACCCAACAATTTGGCTCTGGCAGTTAAAAAAAAAAAAGTTATATAGCAGACTGCCCAGGAGCTGAATTAAGCACGATATCCTTATGTAAGCATTTGGACAATATCTCTGAAAACATGGTAAGGAGATTAAGAATGTTACCTCTCAGGGCACACGTAATCCAGTATCCTTTTATGCTTTCACATCAAAGAACACTTGATGTTAAACGCAGGATGCTTTAGCAATTTACTAAGTGCGCCAGCTACTTTAGCAAGTGGGGAATATTTAATTCTAGCCTTGCAAGAAAAAAACCTAAGTGATTCTTCTGACACTATCCATACTTCTTCCTACATTAGAATGACGGCTTTCTTCTGCCTACCTTATAATTACATCTTTTATAACAACTAACAATACGTAACTTAAAGGACAACAAACGTGTTTACAATTTCAGTAACAGAAGATCATAGGCAAACATTAACCTCAGCAAATATACTTTTCAGCCATAACTTCAGACCTGGCGGCTCACAAATGACTTTGTGCACAAAAGAAAGGCGGCACTTGCTGGGATATATACTACAACACAGCGCAAAAAGCGGAAGTTTTGAGGATGTATGGCTAAACCACGGGGGTGGAGGAAAGCTTAAACAGCCTAACACATTTCACCTAACCTTTTCATCATCCCAGCCGTGACCCGATCTTCCTCCTCCTCCTGCGGCTTTCCCTGGAGTACACGCACGGCTGGCGCACGGCAGTGCTGGGGCTCGGGCCGGGCGGGCAGGGCTCGGCTCCAAGGCCCGACAGGCGCCCCGGGGAGCAGCGGGGGAGGAAAGAGAACGCGGCTCGGAGCCGAGCGCTGCCCCGGCCGCCGGGCGCGGACCTGCACCGCGCCGGGCGCCCCTCAGCCGCGACCGCCCCGCTCGCCGGCGGCGCGGTTACCCGGGAAACCCTCCCGGCCACCGTCCCGCCCGCCAGCAGGGACCGCGCCACGTGATTCCGCCAAATGCACCGGCTTCCCTCCGCTCTGCTCCGCTCTGCCCGCCCCGCCGCGGGACACACGTCAGGGGGGAAGCGGGCCCCGGCGGCCACGCGGGACGGGAGGGGACGGGCCGGGCGGCATGGCCGCTGCGGGACACGCGGGTCGTGAGGGGACGGGGACGGGCCCGGGCGCCATTGACGGGCGGCAGCGGCGGAAGCGGCCGGCGTGCGGAGCGGCGCCCCCTGGCGGGCTGGGGATGGTGGTGGGGATGGTCCCGGAGCGGCCGGGGCCGGACAGGGCTAGGGGAATTTCCGTGAGGGAATTTCCGTGTCCGAGCCTTCGGGAGCCAGCCTGGTGTCACACTCGCACCACCTGAGCGGGGACCGACCCCCTTAGCAGCTACACAGTCACGCGGTCAGAGCAGGTTTCCTTCTGCCTCGACCCCCAGCGCTTCTCCAGAAGTCGTACAACTGATCTTGAGGAAAAGCAACAGGGAAAGAGTTAAAATTATGTTGCATTCCGTAATGCAAGGGTCAAACTCAAAGCATCCCTTCTCGCTTTTTCACAGAAATCCCTTTCGAAAGTTTTCCTAATGTTTCAGCCTTAGATGTCGGCCGTTGTGCTTTTAATGCGTTTTAGCACATCTCTGGAAATGTTTAAAAGACGCAGGGAAATTAATGACCCCTGTTTCCCTGACCACTGCCTCTCAAATAACCACAGAACAATTGCAGTTTGTGCTTGCATGTGCTCTCCAGCGAGGGTCTGACAGTTGTGTTTGTTGTGAGAGTCACGTTGCTTCAGGAATTTTTATGCCAGCATTTAGTAAATGGCAAAATAAAACAAGTTCACTTAAGAATACAAATGGACATTGTTCACACGCGTACACACACACACACACACACATGCGTTTTGATTCTCTGTTCAGCAGACTTGGAACGAAAAGATTCTGAAAGGAAGTTTTCTTTGACGAGTGTTGGGTACTCATTGCAAGTGAGAAACCAGTTAAAGTCTTATTACTGCCTCTCATTTCCTGTTAGCTTGAGAGATAAAGACAGAGCTTCCAATGTGGCCTTTATGTATCCCAGATTTTTTAATGCTAGCATAAATTATAGTTTAAATTCAAAGGAGCAAAGAAATATGGGCTCTGTATTTTCCACACAAGTCTATAGGAATTACTTTGCTAAAGGTGCTGCAGCACTTCTTTCAATCAGGCCTATTGTCTGCAGATGTAGTATTATGTTTCCATTTGCGAAGTGGTTTTTTTTGTCTTTATGTGCAGCTTCTGCTGCTGTCTGTAGGAAATGTGGGAGCTGATCAAGGACAGAATGCCCACATAAACTAATATACTAGAACAATTTGTTACACACGACAGCCTACAGATGGTGAAAACATCAATTTCCAGCATTTACTCTTTTGTCGCGTGAAAATGCATGGAGTGAGGCATGAGAATTTAAAAAGAAATATGGAAATTAATTAAAAGAACGCCATTCATGGTTCATGCCTTGATCCTGCTCAGATTTAAGCCAATGCAAATTTTACTGTTAACTTCAAAGTGGTAGCTGTGACATCATTCATTGATCATGAGAGTTACTTCATATATGATCAAATAATCACATCAAGGGCTCAGTCCTTCAAGCTGCTAAAAAACTGTTGCACATTGAAGCTTTTCTGTTTGCAGAAATATGTTCAAAGCGCCTTGCACAAAGTATAGAAAAATGTGCAGAGGGATCAATGGTGTTGGAAACCTCAGTGCCCATATGGGAAAGAAAAAACCTAAACCACTCTTGATGACTGTGGTGGAGAGGAGGCATTGCCTGGTGTTGAAATGTCATCTAGAGCATTCAAATAACATGCACAATAGCCACTTAAAAGATTTTCATTTCCTTCTAATGCCAACCAGTTGGAGCAGTTTTCTCAAGAGCTCTTAACAGCAGAACTTAAAAAAATGGGAGAATGGGGCTAGCCATGAATTACAGCCAGGAACATGGCAATTTGGGCAGCAGTGCTAATAAAGCAGAAGGATGGATGCAAATTCTAAAATAGGTCCTGCTGGACAGAGTTCCAAATTATAAAGTAAATTTCAGGCTCTGCTCACGTGGGTGGGAAGCCTTTGCTGACTTCTATGAAACCGGATTTTGCTGCTGTAATCGTCTTCTCATTTAAATATGTGGCATGTGCACACATAATACATATGTTTTTCTTGCTAAACAGGAAAAATATGAGTCTTTGTGGATTATTGTAGTAATTTCCAAAGTTTGATGGCAAAATTAAAAGGAGTAAAATATCCACACTTCTATTCTGTTGTCTGATTTCAGTTTTGTATTGTCTGTAAAAGTCAATGGGGAAGAAGATACCAATAAAAAACAAAAAACCTCTGCCACATTCACTTTGGCTGAAGCATTGCATCAGATAGTATTTCAGTACTGAACTTGCAAATATGTGAAATATGAGATTATGATAATAAATATTTCACCATATTCTTGGTTATGTTTTTTTAAGGGTTAACAGTTTCCTACGGAATCAAAAGCAAACAAACAGGGGTGGACTAAGAAGTTAAAATTGCATTTTCTGTGTATGCTCACTGTGATGAGACTTCCTTAAGTGGCGATGCAATAAAAGCCCTTTCCAGTATGCACATCAGAAAAAAGAAAAACCTTCTATAACTAGAAATTGCACAGAGAACAAAAATAATCACTTGGAACTGATTCTCTTCATGTGGGAGAAAATGGTAGTCAAATTAGGATTAGTTATAAAATAGTTCACATCAGTATAATTGTAGTTTAAAAGAGCATTTTTAATACTTCTGCTTTTGGTTCACTGCAGGTCTCCTTTTGTTCTGCCACTGATAAGAAGCCCTCAGATCCCAAGGGCTGGATTTTTGGTCGATTCAGTTACAGTAGCCTGAACTCAGTGTCTCACTGTATGGGTTTTTTCCATCATGAATTTTCTCCCTGGATTGAGAACTAGAACAGAAATTCTGTGTCATGTTTCAAATTATTCCAGAGACTCAGACTGGTCACAAATCTTATTTCTTCTTGCATCACTTGAAGAGAGCCGCAAAGTTTGGAGTTTGGAAGCTGGGCTGTTGCTGGCTATTTCCCGTTTTCTGGAAGTTAGCAGACACACACTGTTTCTCATGCTTTTTGAAAATGGATCCTCCCTCTGGCTTAATTGTGTAAATGTTTAATTGCCTTAATGTTGTGCCCTGTACTGCCAAGTTTCCCTGGAAGAGTGCAAAGTTGCTGTAATTACTGGCTGCAGGAATAAATCCTTCACCATCATAGAGGAAACTCTCCTATCGCCAGCGACTGTAAGCAATTAAAAATTTGTTCAAGAGGGTGATTGTTTACAGTCAGTAATTAAAGGTGCTTATCACTCTCTCAGATTAAAGTGTATTTGCAAACACTTAACACTGCTTTTTGTTTCATTTCCTGATTCTCTATAAACTTGTTGGAGAACATTGCTCTGCTGTGTAATCCAGCTAGCGGAGCAAGATTCCTTCTGTTGCATTTGAGAAATCCTGAGAAAATTATTACACAAACATAGATACAAACATGGCTGGTTTGACTAACTGTAGCACTTTTGATTTACTCTAATGATGCTGTCCTGTGCCTACCGTAGATCCTTCTTTGCCAGTGAAAATTCTCAGTTCTTGGACTCAGGCAACATGCTTACAATACCTACTCTGTGGGACTGGAGAAACAACTTGGGTTGTTTCCACCTGAGATAATTTGAACTGCAAACCCTCATCTGCCTTGAATATTCTCCTTTGCATATAGAAAGTTTTGTAATAAGTTTTTCTCTTTGTGCGAAAACACACTGCATGTGTTCTGTTCAGAAAAAGGTAAGGAAAATATTTTTATAAAAATTTCTTGGTGGCTTAGGAAAGATCAAACTTAGAAAATTCTGTAGAGAAAAATTAAGTGTTCTGATTTATTAAAATTTTTCAGATCTGTAACATCTTTCGTTTATCCTGACAACATATCTGCTTAACACTGGCAGGAATGTTAGCTTTGCATTTCAGATTTTCACTTGGTTATTTTTAGTTCTTCTGAAGCCTGG